GACTGCGTCCAAAAACTGACCATTGGCTACGAAAGGGCCCCTGCAGGTCCTGTGCCTCTTCTCAGGACGCGATAGGGCTACAGCGGTTCAAGGCTACATGCGACGGCTGGCATCCACCTTCAACTGCGAGGTCCGCGTCACCTTGGTGGATACGGCAGTGGATAGGAAACAGGACCTATCCAAAAGCAAGGTCAGAGCTAAGTTCCTCGAGCTCATTAGACAGGGCGAGTTTGATGTGATCTTCATCTCGCCTCCATGTGCTACCTTCTCCAGGGCTACATGGGCGAACTTCCAAGGGCCGCGACCAGTGCGAAGCTTTCAATCCCCACGGGGACTGGATACGCTGACGGCTAAGCGATTCTTGGCAACATTTTTGCAGATTTTTGTTGGGAGGTTGCAGGGCTAGTAGCTCAGGGCAAGGCTAAATTTCTGGCATTCGAGCAGCCGGAAGATCTGGGCGCTCTGGCTACGGGCCCACGGCGAGGACAGCGACCGGCTAGCATGTGGCAGTGGACGCCGCACAAACTTCTTTGCCGCCAAGGGCTACGATCGGTCGCCTTCTACCAGTCAGAGTTTGGGGCTACCCGGGCTAAGCCCACCAGACTGCTTCTGGCTACGCACCTGACCCTCCCGGAGTTTGTCTATGAAGGCGAGCCAGAATACGACGATAGGGGCTACTACGTGGGCCCCTTACCATCGCCACCGACTACCCCGGCTACCCCTCGGTTGCTACGACCTAAGCTGCAAGACGCGTGGCCAGCAAAAATGAGCGAGTGGCTAGCACAACTGGCATTGGCTACCTGCTCCTCCACTGCCCCGACAGGCCAAACGGCTAGGGGAACGGAGGTGCAGGCATCAGCACCATCCCTGGATAGCAAGGCGAGCCGTGCTGCAGACGCCCTGGGCTACGTGGTGAACCAGCCTGAAGGCGACAGGCTAAGGGGCGGCAGCGAGGGCCAGGACCTCTCGGAACCCGGGCTACTGGAAGTTGCGGAGGGCCAACCTCTGCGGCTACGACTCATACGTGCACTTCTGGAAGCAGCAGGCGACCCGGATAGGGAGTTTCTTCGAAGAGCGGAAGAAGGCCTACCTCTGGGGATACTTGAAGGGCTACCTCGCACCCCTCACGTCTTCGAAGAGCAGACCTCCTGGCGACTGGATAAGGATAGCTGGGAACCTGCGCTAGCCTGGGTTCCGAACTACGCCTCGGTGAGCGACCACAAGGAGTTTGTGAGGGCTAAGTTCGACGAGGACGTTGCGGAGGGCCTCATGGATAGGATGACCCTGGGGGAGTTCAAGGCTAAGTTCGGCGAGAACAGGGCCATCGCCTCACTCGCCGTGGTAGTCGAGGATGAGGAGAAGGATAAGAAGAGGATAATCCATGACGCCACGCATGGCGTCAGGGTTAACCACCGGATACGCTGCCGTGACAAGATACGGGCTCCCGGGGCTAGGGAGAAGAAGCAGATCCTCAGGGAGCTGCAGGTCACCCAGGAGATAGCCTGCTCAGTCGTCGGGGATATCTCCAAAGCTCATCGGAAATACAAGCACCAGGCTAGTGAGCACGGCTTCATGGGATGCCAGATCGACGAGGAGGAGACGATCCCCGGCGACCCGGATAGCCAGATCGTCTACGTCAATAGAGTGGGGACCTTCGGGCTATCCCCAGCGAGTTACTGGTGGACGAGGATAGCAGCTTGTGGGATACGGGCCGTCCACCACTTGCTGGGGCCCGGCTATCCCATGGATATGTTGCTCTACGCCGACGACTTGGAGGCCCTTGGGATAGGAGCTCGTGGCCGCCAGGGGATTCCCCTGTGCTACTTGTTTCTGTCAGTCCTCAAGTGGGCGAAAACACGCGGTGGATACTGCGTAGAGTGGCTAGGGATGGAGACGGACTACTCCGGCTACAAGTTGGGGATGTCAGCGAAGAGAGCGGGATGGCTAGCTGGCTGGCTACGCGAAAAGGCGACCGCGGGCAAGATAGAGGCCAAGGAGATGCAGCAGGGGCTAGGACGCCTCGGCTTTGCCGCGATCGCGCTAGACTGGGAGAGACCCTTCCTGGGCCCGCTCCACGCATGGTCGGGGGCTATCCAAGGACGCCCTGGAAGGCTAGTCATCCCAACCATGCTGCGCGTTCTTATGGGATGGATAGCCGACAGGCTCGCAGGAGGAGATCGGCTACAACGTCCTGTGAGCCTCCACCGAGCGCTACCGCCCCTGAGCTTCTTCACTGATGCTAAGGCGGAGTCGGATAGTGCATGGATAGGAGGCTTCTTAGAGCTAGAAGGGAAGCCAGGCCCATGGTACTCACTGAGAGTGGATAAGTCTTGGGCGCCTTGGGCCTACTCCAAAGGAGATCCCAAGAAAGTGATTGCGGCGCTAGAACTGCTAGCGACCCTCGTCGGGATACGGCTATGGGTCCCGGAGGGCGAGGATAGAAAAACCTCGCGAGTCGCCATCAGGGGCTATACGGATAACAAATCCAACGAGTCCCTTTTGAAGAAGGCGATGACGACGAAATATCCTTCGACGCTAATTTTAATGGGGATGGCCGAGGAGCTAGCCCACAAGAACTGCGAGCTCCAGCTGCAGTGGATAAGAAGAGAATTCAACCAGCTAGCGGATGATCTCACGAACGAGGACTTCCACGGGTTCGATCCCAGTCTGAGGCTAGACCTCAAGGGGGAGAACTTCGTGTGGAGAATCCTCGACCGGCTACTCGCGCACTCAGATAGCTTCTACAAGGAGCTAGGGGTGCGAAAGCGAGAGGCACCGGCTAGGTTGCCGAAGTTTGGCCGGAAGAAGATGCGGCTAAATCCCTGGTAGCCTGTCGGCTTCGCAAGGAGTATTGGCTAGCCGAAGGCTAGAGTCGATCTCCAGGCTAACTGGGATATTTGCCACATCCATGAAAAAGAGAGCTTGCGTCCGTGCTAGCTGGCTGTCTGCTTCGCCCGTCGTCGCTCGGCTAGCTACGTCGCTACTTCTCCTACGTACGCTATCGTCCTAGGTGGTGTCCCTGGGGATGGCGGTGGGCTATTGGGGTTGGCCTAGTGCACGCACTCGTGACGAGGTACGAGTTACGACCGTGTGTGCTAGGCCGTCTACCCCTACTACTATTCCGGGATATCGAAGGTATCTCGGCTAGAACGAAGTTCCTCGCTATCGTCGCTCGACAGGATAGTTTGCTGTTGCTTGCAGTGCATGTCTGGAGAGCAGGATAGCTTGACTTGAAATGGCTACGGTTGCGAACCACGTGGCCATTTTGGATAAGTCCCCCGAGGGGGGTAATTTTGAAGTACCCACCCTTCCCACCCTGAGAGTATTGGCTAGCCGAAGGCTAGAGTCGATCTCCAGGCTAACTGGGATATTTGCCACATCCATGAAAAAGAGAGCTTGCGTCCGTGCTAGCTGGCTGTCTGCTTCGCCCGTCGTCGCTCGGCTAGCTACGTCGCTACTTCTCCTACGTACGCTATCGTCCTAGGTGGTGTCCCTGGGGATGGCGGTGGGCTATTGGGGTTGGCCTAGTGCACGGGCCTTCAGTACGCTCTTCTGTACCTGTTCCACTGTTATTCGTGTTCGCACAGAACTCATCGAACAACCTTTGTGCTTCTGGAGGTAACGGCATTCGTCCTACCTCTTCCAGTGTCATCTCTTGTCCATCGAACATAAATACATCTCGTCCATCTGGTGTAGTCACTGGTCCAGTGTACTGTTCTTCATTGATAGTACCAGTTCGGACTCCTTGGGTTCCTTGTCCGATTGTACCTTCCATCGCGGCTCTTCCGCGGCTCGCGGTACTTCCTCGGCTTCTGAATCTTCTTGTAACCGGGGTCTCGGTACTTCCACTTGCGGTTTCGCCTGCGGTCCCTTCCGCATAGTTCTCATACGTGCTCTCTGCTTGGGTTTCAGCTGCATACCGATTCGTCCTTCTACGAAGTCCACTCTCGCTCCGCTCGCGGTCTCCTGCTGCATCTTGAACTTCCCAGTCGTAGTTCTCTTTCCATTTCTGCGTTGCATACTCTCGGATACAGCTTTCACATGAGCACCATACGTGATTCACTTTCGTGCACATCTGTTGGTCTTGCACCAATAGCACATCTTTCCGCATCCTAAGAGGTCTTGCGTGGTATACACTTCCACCTCGCTGACTTCATTCCAGCTCTCATCGCTGCTTGAGGCTGTCCAGTCTTTGTCCATTTTGTTGCTCTTCTTCTTTTGAGCAAACTTCGGACTTTTGCAAGTACTCTGAGCCTGAAAGTCACGACGATCACACATGCTTCGCATGCTCTCCGAGAAAACTACACGAGTGGTCAAAAGCTACCAAAACTGTTCTAGCAAAATAAGAGTACAGGGCATAGGGGAAAATGTTGATCACCCCGCCCGGACATCCCCAGTGACTTAGACTGGAAGATGTTCGCATCAACATACAGCGTACGATACATCACAGTAGCGACCACTTCTGACTACAGTACACGGCTCAACAAGTCAGCGTAGCTACGATCTAAAGTCGTCTATACACTACGCGCACTCCATCAAAGGCTCGGACAGCCTATGACGAAATGCAAGCTTGACTCACCCAAGCGTAGGCGTTGCAAGTTCAAGCGCTCCTGTCAAGAACCAAACAATTCATGGCGGATCATGCATCATGCTTAACATTGATGCCCGGGATTATAGCGGCCTAGTTACCGCTGAAAGCTCATCACGAGACTTTCTTTCGGAGTCATGACCGCTCCACGGTCAACACGATCGTTGTTCAGACATAACTAGATTGACACCAAAATGGTGTATCGTGCACAGTCTTGCACGCTCCAAGGATGGTTCACACATCAAGGTCAAGAATGATTCACAGGTGGTTTTCTGAAGCTATGTACAATCGTCGCTGGTCGTCAATGACACACACACAAAGGTAGTGCCACTGACTATGTACAGATGGCCAATGCATCAGCATCATGAGCATTCAAGACACAAGTGTGTTGCGACACGCAATCCAAGGATCATCACTTTTGTTTCTTGCTGCCACCAAAGCAACTTCCGCACGGCTTGTAACCTCGCTCACGGGCTGTGGCGATTCCAAGCTTCACGATCTCATCAGCATTGTTCAGACAAGTGCAATTCCTGCTTTTGTGGTACGACTTGCCTCGTCTCAAAGTGCAATAAACATGCAACTCAGGCACATGCTGGATCACATCGTTGGAACCGCGTGCGGCATCGCCATCTATGAAGATAGCACGGTTCGGCTCTGGCATTGGCAGCGTTCTCTCTCTTGTTCGATCTTTCGCCTCGTGGTATTCTCCCCAAGCGATACGGTCGTAGTTCATTTCAGCGATCAATCTGCTCAAGCGCTCGTTCTCCTGCTCAGCGGCATGCAGTGAGGCTCGCACCCGTCGCAGGCACATCATGATTGCCAGGCAGAACGCTGAAAGGCTGCAGGTGAAAGTCAATGGAACCCAATTCCACCAACCGTCGGTTCCCTGCTCATACACTTCTTCGGTGGAGGTGCTGGCATTGCTCATGTTCAAGGTGATGTCATCTTCATTGCCCTCTGTGGTCCATAGCCGCCCAAGGCTCAAAGATTTCAAGGCAAGAAGGATAGCACATGTGCAAATCACCAAGACGGCCAGCGACTGCGCCCACCGTGCATCATCATCGGTCTGCACACCGACTTCACGCCTGGTACCACTGCTCTCGGCACCTTGCACAAGTGACAGCATCATCACCATCATTGCAGTGCTGAAGCTCTGCATCCCGTTGCTCTTCAGCGTCTTACACACAAGTCTGCGAACCCTCTGTGTTTCACGCTCACGCTGCAACTGCTCCAACAACGCATCATGCTCTGCACGGCCTACCTCCTCTATGCAGTCACCCGCACAGCACACAAAGTCATGCATGCACAACAAAGCACGTAGGCGGGATCCTGAGCACGGCACCTTGGTTCCCAGATCCGATGGGTTCCTTCTCCCATCGACCGGCTGCACACGGAGTGTGCGATCGGCTGTCTTCTCCTGTATCCAGAGAAACCTTCCATCAAGATGCCTGATCTTTGATACACCCTGCTTCAAAGATATCTGGCGACAGGAGCTGTTATCAGTCCTCATCAAAAGATCTACCGGTAGTTCAAGCAGGTATTCAAGAACTCTTTTCAGGTAGATGCCGTCGCACGCCGCGGATACCAGGGCGTAAAATTCGCTTTCCGCACTACTGAGGCTTACGCAGCGTTGGCTCTTACAGGAAGTATAGACGCAGCAGCTGTTCAAAAAGAACGAGCTGCTGCTCATCGACCGGCGAGTCTGCTTGTTGCCGCTCCAGTCTGCATCACAGAACACCTCTAGCCGAACGCCATCAAGACACTCCTCGGCATCAGGTGGCTCAAGAATGCTTGCTCGATCGCCCTTGGCATGCACCTTGCTTGCGTAGCCGGCCGTTCCAACAAGATACCCTGCAAGGCGTTGCGCAAACTGCCAGCCGCGCTCGGTCGGTGCCTTAAGGTTCTGGGCTAACACCCTCACCGTGAAAGCAATGTCACTCCGATCCTGTGACACATACATGCCTATCCCAACGGCGCTGCGGTACTTGGCTGCTCGAGCAGAGTCCAGCTCCTTGCTTGCATCCGGCATGAGAAGCTCCTTGGTGCACGGCGTAGGGAACTTTCGTGCAGCAGGCTCAACAACACTTGTCGGAGCACGATCAGACCGGTCAAGAAGAAGCGTGGCTCTCGAAGAAGGCGCTGGGGTCCCCGCCGCAACGCTTGGCGGTTGCACTGACTCAGCTGGCACAGGTGCAGGAGGGATCCCCGCCATGGCCGGCATGTCTGGCATTCTTGGCGCCTCAACCTGAACCTCACCTTGGGGAGCATCGGGCTCACCCTTGTCAGCTGGCTTGGGCACGCGATGCCTAGCCTGTGGAACAACCTTTGTGCCAAGCAAACCAAGCTGATAATCCCAAGGAAATCCTTTGGCATCAATCGCCAGACTCTGCTCGGACTCCCACGGCTTGTCATTTCGCCTGATTGACTTGGTGAGCCACACTCCTGCAGAGTTGCACAAAACATACATGTCATTGCTTGGACTCTTAGTCAGCATGAGGGCTCTGTGCCATCGGCGGTCGCCTTTGTGCTTCCCTTTTCGGTAGCCCCAGACGGGCTCGGCATACATTCCAAGCTTGCCTGAATACCTGAACCCGGTTGCTCGCTCAAAAGCGGTGGCACCTCCTCTGACAGCAAACCTGTTAAGGATGAACGCTGCATGCACGTAACTCCATGCCATCAAGGGGTGACTGGGTCCTAGGTGATCAGGGCCTAAACCGAACTTGGCACGGGCCTGGTCAAGGAAAACATTGGAAAGCCCTCGCAGCAGATCAACCGTCTTTTCCACATACCCTTTGGAGGCATGGGACTCGACAGCAGCATTGCGCACAACGGTTTTGAAGTTCAATCTTGTTCGGACACTGATGATCAAGTTTTGCAGCGCGACAGTGCTCGGCTCATTGTCGGTCTGAAGGGCAATCGTGTTATGCCCCAGCGACTGCACAAATCTGGTCAGTTCGATCGCTGCAAATTTCAAACCATCTTTACCCTTGCTTGCAACCGGAAGTCCGAAAACTGAACCTGTCGCTGTATCGTGCGCTACTAAAATTGTGAGCTTGTGGTGCTGAAGGTCTGAATCATCTGTGGTCACGGAAGTGTAACAGAAGTCGAAGCTTACAATTGGAGTGTCCCGGTCGGGACTGTCGGGGATCGACTGGTGTCGGTCCTCAAGCCCGCGCATGGACAAGCAGTGATCACACCAGCCTTGGAAAGGCCAGTGAATGAGATTGTGCAAGTCACGCTCGGCCTTCGATGGCTCTTTGTTCATTGCCTGACCTTTTGCAACACGCGTGCTGTCGCCTTCGACTGCTTGAGCAACCTCACTCTTCAGAGCAATGTCCTGCTTCTCAAGATAACACTTAAACCTGTCAAGACAGCGCTGCTTGCTCCCAGACTGGGAAAGACCAGCAGCCTTGCACGAAGCTCTGATGACATTCAAAGTCGATGCCAAAGACAACTCGACGCCATCATACACCAGAACATCTCGCTCACTCTTGCGCTCCGGCATCGGCGCATCCGCAACTTCAACATCAGGCAAGGGAGACACACTCACCTCGGCGGGCTCGAAAGCCTCTGCCATTCCATCATCACTGGGCTCATATTCATCAAGCTCCCCTGCATTGGGATCTGCTGGCTGCGGCCCGCTCCAACTGATGTAGTCCTTGACTGACCTGCTTGGCACGATCATCATGTCCTCAAGCGGCGCTCGATCAGTCGTGAGCACACACACAACATCGGATTCCCCGTGCGGTAGCACAGCAGACAACTCCTGAAGCTCACCCCAGCTCACACAGTGTTCAAGCAGGAGCCAGTGGTCGTAGCCGTCTCGGCACGGCTTCACAAGCGTGGTTCTGCATGGCCACCCAACAGGGGCAACGATGGAAGGATCGATGAAGTGCGACCCTCGGCCGCGGAAGAACATATCACCCTGCTCTGACATCTGCCATCCAAACGGTGCATCAATCATGCTTGCATCAATCGTTGCTTGAACAAACCTGACATGGAGTGCAGGATTCACAGACTGCTCACCGACACGGTAAATGGCAGCTTTGATGCATAGCGAATTGCCCTTGAAGCTCATCGGCACTCGGATGCCACTGTCATGCTCAAGACACATGGTGGGCTTGCGCTGTGGCCACCACCCAGCACGCATGAGCTTGCCCTTGCACAAGAGAGGCTGAGTGACAGGTGCAATCGCACAAACTTCTCGCCACACAATCGGCTCACCTTCTTCACTCTGCAAAACGAAATCAACTTCTCTCAAATCGTTCACAGCAAGTGGCTCGCCCTGTGCATCTTTCAATGCCAAGCCTCCGGCGCCCTGACTGGTGCCATGCGTGGCATAGCAAAGTGGCAGGCAACTCATGTCGGCTCCACTGTCAAGGATGATCTCATGAGCTTCTGAGTCGTGCACCAACATGTCAATGGAATGCACTGCGCACACAAACTGAGGAATCCCGCTGCAGTCTGACTCGTCCTGAAGGTCAAAGGTCGATGCAGCTATGCACCACGACCCTGCATTGGCATCACAAGCTGACATGTCGAAGCTGTGGTCACACTCGGACCCGGGACCCTCTGGCACGCTGCACTGATCTTGCTCAAGCAAAATGGGACCCTCTGGCACGCTGCACTGATCGTAAAATTCGAAACGACCTGTGGGGACTGGATTGCCTCGGCTCTCAAACCCGTTGAAAATGTTATCAAGACAATCGCTCAAGCCATCCGAACACTCGAAGCGCTCGACTCCCGAAATTGTCAAGACATCTGAAACTGGATATCCCAAGCCAAGGTGGCTGGCACGCATTGCATCAAGAAAATCAAAATCTGAAAATTCTGAAATCCCTCTCGGCATGCAACCTGTGGGGCACTGGATTGCCTTGGCTCTCAAACCCGGCTCGGCTATAACGGCACGCACATGGCCGCCTGCAAACCAGCTTGACGTGTCACCAAGATCAAAGACCTGCACACGGCGAACGGCTGTGGTTGCCGTGCTCGATGCTGCAGCCTGGCTTGCACTGTCTGACGGCTGCACCTCGGAAACCTGATTGACACGGCCTTTCTCATGCTTTTGCTTAAGCCAGCAATCCTTCTCCAAGTGACCCTTGCGCTCACAGTAACGGCAGGTGCGAGTCTCAGTTGCAGGAGGCGGACCTTTGGGAGTATTGCCGCCTTTGCCCTTGCCTTTTGGCTTGCCCTGGTTCTTACCACCTTTACCGCCTTGTGGCTTGCCACCATGACCTTTGCCTTTTGGCTTGCATTTGCCTTTGTCACCTTTGCCCTTAGGCTTGCCCTTATTCCATGCGACACGATCAATCTCCATGGGCGCGGGACCGCCTGAGGACGAAGATGCAATGCCAAACGTGCTGGCAATCGAAGTGCTCCACTTTGTCTGGGAAGTGTCCCAGCGCTCAATCAAATTCCGAAGATCCTGATACGTGGAGCTTTCTGTGATCAAGACGGTGGCCTGGGTCCTGAGTTGTCCGGACAGACATCGGAGAACGGCGGCCAAACGATTGTCGTCTGACATGCTAGTGCCAGTCAGGCCTTCATATTCATTCACCGCACTCTCGAAGCGGGTGAGTTGGGTCATAAGGCCGGTCCGGTTGTCAAATGCGGGCCACGAGTGTATTGCTTGCAACAACGCCAAAATGCGATTGCGCGAACTCGGCATTAAATCTTGACTGAGGATCCTATATGCCTCAAACCCGTTTGCATCTGTCAAGGATTTCAAGACTCGCTTGCCTTTGTCATGCAAGAGCCCGGCTAAGACACCATAAAGAAGTCGGGACCTGTCTGCTTCAGCTTCAGTCAAGGATGCAAGTGCAATCGGATTGGCAGGCCTACGACGGATTGTCTGAAGCTCCACGCCAAATGCTCGATCAAGACAAGACAGGTACTGTTCCAACTCCCAAGACCAATTAGCCCACAGTGAAAGCTCTGCATCCCGGTCCTTGCGACGGAAAGGCTCAGGAGCCTTGAGGACCTTTGCAAGGTCGCGCCCTCGGATCGCCTGCTCCCTAGGCGCTGCAGTGTTGTTGGAAACAAGGGTTGTCAGGTTTTCCAACACTTGCATCAACCGCTCCTCGTTCGGCGGTGCTCTGCTTGCAGCAGACGCTGGGGAAAACGGGTTCCCAGGAGGCACAAATGCCCCAGCAGGAGCTCCAAGCTCCTCATCACTATCATCGGCACCCACTGCGGCAGCAGCCGCATCAGCATATATCTCTGCCATTGTTTCTAATCAAGATCAATGGTGCAATCGGAACCTTCGCGGTGCAATGGAACACGAAACGCAGCTGAAGAACTTGCTTGATCAGGCGTTGATTGCTCAAGATCAATGATTTCCGAACTCCCACAAGAAGAAACCTGAGGAAAACCACCTAGACTAGCGACAAGGGACCTTTCAAAGTCCGGCGCCTCGGTCTGGGCGTGCACAAAGGATTCTTGCACTGAAAACGGTATGCAATTGGCAGTACAGATAGCAGCTCCCTCGCAGAAGAACTTCTCCTTCCACTCCTTCTCTCTCAAACACTTGCTTGCAAATTTGTAAAGCTCAGGCACAGTGTGAAATGATTGGGCTCTGGCTTCGCACGCGGCAAAGCTGGTACGCAAAATGCGCACAAAGGACTCCCTGCTTCTACCCTCGGGCTGAGGTCTCGCCCAAAGCTGCTCCTCGTACACAGACAAGAGAAGCTCACGCAGCAACTCCACTCCTGCTAAGGTTGTCGTGATTTATTGTTCAAGCAAACAAAGCTCGCGGCAGCTATGGCTCGTCCGGTCGGCGCCGGGATTGCGAAGCTACGGCACTACAGCCTAGGTTCACCGAAATCACGCAACACACTCAGAGGAACGCTGCCACAGCCTAACAGCCTGGGCCCCTGAACTCAAGCCCACAAGAAGTCCACGTGTCCCGAAGCTGGGTCGGCCCAGCTCCGCTACCATGAACAAACTTCGGACTTTTGCAAGTACTCTGAGCCTGAAAGTCACGACGATCACACATGCTTCGCATGCTCTCCGAGAAAACTACACGAGTGGTCAAAAGCTACCAAAACTGTTCTAGCAAAATAAGAGTACAGGGCATAGGGGAAAATGTTGATCATCTTTCCTCTGCTGCTTACTTTTGGCATCGCGCTGATACCCGGCTTACTCTCGGGGTAACAGATAAAGCATGGCCTAAAGCCTTGCTTCACTGCCTCTTCTTCTGTGAGGTATAGGAACATACCAGTACGTGCTTCGCCCTGCACGTATCTGCATGACTGTTTGTGGTACACCTTGTTCCTTGATCCCGAATGTACCAACCATCATGACTCTCTTCATCCAGTCCTTGATAGTCTTCACTATCTGTAGCACTTTGGGTGCTGCCAGGAGGAATACCAAAATTAGCACACACACTTCGAACGTGGTATACTTTCCTTGCGTGGCATCCGTGGCTTCCGAATACACAGAACTTCCTTCCTTGACCCAAACTGCTGCGGACGGTCGCACAATTCCAAACACTTGAATCAACCGAATCAGGTTCTTTACTTGATCGCTTCCGACATACTCCTTGAGCTTTTTTTCCTGTTCGTACTTCTCATACTCGTTCTCTCCGATATGTACAATTTCTCCTTCTTCGGAGTACTGTACTTGCGATAGGTGATACAGGAGGAATGACCTTCTCATGAAAGTCAATTTCTTTGTGTTCAGATCTGCTACGTTCAGTACTGTCTTCACCGTTGCGAGTTTGATCAAGTCTTCTCTGCTCTCACCCAATCCTGAAGTTGACACAATCTTACATCCACGTGCTTCAGGCGTCCGACTCCACGTCTCTGAGACCACTGACGTGCTGAGCTTGAGTCACATCTTACCTGAATACTCACAGGCTCTTCAGTCAGGAATTCGAACAATCGTCCTACAAGAATAGCTTCTCCACAGGTTCCACTGAGTGCATACAATTCGGCTTCACAGCTTGATGACGCTGTAGCTTTCTGTGTCCTTGACAAGGATAATACTTGAATCCCGTTAAGTACCATGATACCTGATGATGTACTTTTCCTTCGGGCTCTCTCTGGTGTCTTCACACTTGCCCAATCACTGTCCGAGTATGAGTAGGCTTCCAGTACATGACCTTCCTCTGGGGGAATTTCATCATCCTCTTTTCCATTCAGGCGTGTAATTAGCCTTGTTCCAATCGTTGAATACGGTAACAACGTTGCTCTGGTGGCTGTTCCACTAAGATAAAGAATCAGGTGCTTCAGACACTTCAATGCTTGCATAGTCGGCTTAGACATACTTGATGCGAGACACTTCGAAGCATACTGGATATCTATTCTGTCTTGAGCTAGATACAAGATTGATCCAAGTCCTGATCTAAATCTTCTTGTTTCTGGGTTCAGCTCTTTGCTCTTGTCTTCTTTGACTAAATCAATGTGCTCTGGTGTCGCTTTGCTCTTCAATCTTCCAAGGTCATATAGTTCCACAAGCTTCCGTACGTACTTCTCGTTCGGTTGTACGACGATTCCTTCGCGTACGAATACGTACTTTCTTTTGAGGTAACGCATTTCTTCACCTCTCCCGACTCCTTGTGATGGATACGGTCCTTCTTTACTACTAGCCACATTGTTTCGTGCTTCTCTCCTGCTAGTAGTTCGTCATCTACATGGATTGAGATGCACAACTTCCTCTTCACGTGCCTTGCCAACGCTGGTACGTGTACGGAGAATACAAAACCCAGTTTCTCCAATATTGAGCGTAGGTGTTCATACCATCTCGTTGCTGCGTTCCTTTGTCCTGGTAGACATCGGTTCAGTCTCCAGACAATACCTTCACCGATGTTGCATGCTTTCTTCATCCAGCTTGAGATAGTTACTAGGACTTCTTCTTGTTGAGGTACTTGTAACTTGTAAGTACAGCCTCGATGCTGCGTTTGAGGCTGTTGGTGAAAACGTCTCTGCTGTCGAGCTTGCTCCGGCACGATAATAAACGCGCTACAATACGACATCTGCGCTTCCAATGATCTTCTCTGAGTCTCCAGTCGTAGACTCCTCTCAAATCCAGTCTCTTTTCTTGCCCTGTGGCGTCTGCTTCCAGAAACTCTTCGATTACGCCAATCTTGCTCAGTCTGTTGAGCTCCTCAACGGCTCTCTTCTGATCTACTAGTCCAACTCCTCAGGAGATAACTCAGGGGGCGTTTCTCCTTGATCGTTCTTTGGAGTGTCTTCCATTTCCTCATCCATGAGGTCTTCATACTCTACATCTTCTCCTTCTACTGGCGTGAGGTCTTCTCCTTCGCCCCAGTGAAATGGATCTTCTTCCGCAGACACCCTGCCTGCGTACAATGGTGGAAACAATCCTCTTGAAGGGGATGTTGGTCCTTCTGATCCTTGAGAAGGTTCTTCTCTTGTTCTCTTGGGGGATGACTCTACTTCCTGAGCTCCTTGTTGTTCTAAAGCACGCTTCCTGAACTCTTCAAGAGACATGTCATCACTCACTAGTTCTCCTGCTTGTGATTCTGGTCTACTTGGGACTGATTGCTGTTCCATACTGCTTCCACTTGATGAACTTGCCCTGCCTCCGCTTGAGGCTGAGGGTTCTGCTAGCAGCTAGCATGTCAAGTACTTCCTCTACTTGTTCTGCTTGTGACTGTCCTCGATCACTTTCACGGACAACTGGTTCTTGTACAGTTGCTTCTTCAGTAATACTTGGGAGAGTTGGTCCAGTCAACGGTTGTTTGACAAAAACTCCTTTTGGCTTCTTGGGGTTCCATGGTGTTACACTCAGCTTCAAAACAGGTTCCTTTCTCCATCCTGTTGCGAATCTCCTTGCTGATCCTGTTGCCAGTATTCCATCTTCTACACCCACAAGGTGCATATCCTGAGCATTCTTTCCAAGGTAGATACCGCCAACCCAATTCGCGCTTCCTTTCTTCTCAGGTTTCTTGAGTGCAAACACATACTCTCCGAACGGTGCAATCTTTCCAAGATATGGTTTCCCAACAACACTTTCGTACGGAGTAGAACCAATAGCTGCATGTCGGTGATATCGATTCAACAGCCATGATGCGTGGCATAGTCCCCATGCCCAAATTGCATGTCCTTCGGGGATCTCAATGCCTAGCTTCCTCTCGGTTGCTCTCACCAAACAGACCGTCTGGTTCCTCACCGTTTGGATAAATCGTTCCACTCTTGCTGTTCTACCTTTCTGGTAAGGCTTGTTATTCTGATCATGAGTTTTACGGTTCATCTTCCTTCGAGTCTCTACGATCGCTGCAATCAGAGATACCATCGCTTCCTCTGAGTTTCCTACAAATCCAACTTCATCCAAGTGTCCAACACTGTGTACCCAGTTCAAGACTTTCTCCACAGTCTTCCTTTCTGTCTGTTTTCCTGAGACTGGGATAACAACAGACATCCGTGTCCATGAACATATTCCAACCACTGCTGGTGTATCCTTTCCTTGTAAGAACATAAAGTCCAGTTGAATAACGGGATACGGTACGCCAACCGCATCTTTACCAGCTTCAGGGTTCTTCTTTTCGTGATCCTGTTTACTTTTTGCTTCTACGCATGCTTCACACCAATGCGCAAACGGAGTGTGAGTTGCTTCGTGGGCTAGTCGTTCCTCTTCTGTTGGTTCATCTGGTTGAGCTTCCACTCTTACATTCTCTTTCTCCTCTGTCTTCATCTTCTGTGCCGATTTCTGCATCTCCAATTCTGACAACGGGTTCCCATCCCTGTCATACGTAAGTCCTAAGACTCCTTCGCCTCCTCCCGGGGCGATCTGTGGTGGTACAACTGGTGTACTCAACTCCATTGGGACTGCTCTCTCCGGTTCCGAAAGTCGAACTGCATCCTGTCCAACAGGTGCTTCTCCTCTTCCAACCATGACTACTTTGAAGTCATTGCAAAACGTGAAAAAGTTTCCACTGACTGCGTGGAGGATTGTGCAGATTCTCCTGGTGGTTCCTTGACACTCAGGTATACTAACAGAATGACTCTTTACTGCACGATAGTCCGAGTACAACTCGACGATTGACCATTCACTTCCTCCTTCTCCAATCATCGTTGTCCTGAAATTCCATCCGGGAAAAGCATTGTTTGGATCCATAAACGTAGTTCCTTTGTACACAATGAAAGGGGTTCCATCTTCCATGATCGTCCACTTGCCATTCGGAGTACTGTCCAACAGTTCCGTAAATGAATTGGGTATCCTCACAGATACACTCCTCTCTACCGCAGTACGACTGTCAGTAGGGTTACCACTCTGGTCACCATGACCTTCTCCCGTCCAACGGGAACTTCTTGACGGTGTGGCACGACCACTTCCAACAACTGATATTCTACCTAACAAACAACGACTGTTCCTCTTGTAAAAGATCCTCGCACTTGCTTTCCCATCTGGACTAACCAAAACCATACAAGACGTAGTCAGGTTGAACCGTGCACCAAGATCTTGCTCTCCACTTGTGCTACTTGGACGTCCGTCCCCAAGAGCCTACGGCCGAAGTCCGATGGATTGATACACATGTTATGGATGCAGATCCACTGACAATAGTCATGGAGAGCATAGTTGGTAGAACCTTTCAACACAAATTACCTGAACATAGAGCAACCAACCGATTCTGTCATCAAGAAGAGAGCAAAGCAGCTTCAGAGAAGCAAGACTTTGCGGCCTTTGCGGAAGCATAAGCCACTTTTTCATGGATTCCATGCGCAGCAGGCTTCTACACCAGAAGAGTCGCGGATGTGGACATGTGCTCGTTGATTAGTGTTTACGAAGCCTGGTTGTCAAGTTTAGCTGCGGTTGTACAGTCCTAAGTCCTAAGCATAGGAAACCAGCAGTGTTGATTGAGTGTGATTTACCCCAAGACGCCTTTTTTGGGCCACGGGAAAACAGCGGGTTTCCACAATGTAGTATGATGTCCCATGTTATAGTATAATCTGTTATAGTACATTATACCATGCTGGATGCTTCAAGTCGATGATCAGATGCCCTGACGCAAGGATCGACCCGAACAATGCCAACTTCTTCCACATGATGTTCTTCTTGTGAGAGCTTGGCCGCAGGTCTGTAGAGTAGGTTCCATCACCATGCAACCATGGCGACTTTTGAAGTGCAGCTTAGATGGCCTTTGCTGGCCTTGACATAGCAGCCGCATGTCAAGTGTGTCTTGGAATCGCTTGGTCAGAAGAATCTCTTGTAACTTGGCAGCTGATGTCTTGGCGAGTGGGCCTTCCGCAGTTTTGAGCCCTCTTGCCCATGTTGCGTATGCGTGATGTGGCAAGTTGCTTTATCTTACACCAGTTGCACAGCGCGTGCGACGCAACAAGTGGCTAGGCCAGCCGCACTGCCAAACGCGTGCGCGCACACGCGCGCACATCCGCTGCCGTGTCAACATGTGCTTTGCCTGTTTGAATGCAGCTGCATGGCTCGATAGGGTCTCTGGCCCCTGAAGAGGGGCCTTCCCCGAACGGGGGCCGCCGGCGTTGGTCGCTCTTCGACTCTTCTGACGCTTGTCGCAGAGGATCCGTGCTGAAATCCATCATGGGGGAGGCCGACCTGACGTCAACTCGTTGCAGTGCCGTGCCCGTAGACACCTCCTAGGTATCCTAAATCATCTTCAGGCGGCGATTCTTTCGGAGAAGTTGAAGAGGCTTTGTTTTTCGGAGAGCTGAGAGTGAGCGTAGAGACGGTATAGAGGATACGGCGAGGTATGGCGCCGTGGGAGCCGGTTTGATCCCGGACTCGATGGCCACGCTCCGCCTGGTCGAGGAGCTGTTTTCGGGGACGGGGGGTGGGGTGGGCGGTCTCAGCTTTCCTCTTGAGGCAGATTGAACGGTGTAGAGCATGGTGGAGCAAAGCAGAGCGCGAGAGCTCAGGTGTCGGCTAAGGCCCAGCTGCTCCTTCACCCGGACCCCAAGGGCGACCTCGCCAAAGCCCGAAGTGCGCTCGCAGCTCTTGGACCCCTCACTTCATGTTTTCAGATGCCTCCCCAGACGAGTGCACTCGTTTGAGTGTCGTCGTGCCATCGGAATCGGCAGTTGCAGCATGAGAACTCCTTGATAAAGAAGCAACGGAAGCGGAAAGACGTCCTGCTCCTGTCGCTTCCTTTCCACGAGCATGCCTGAAGGGCGCGAGCTCAGAGGTATTGGCATTGAGAAAATCGTGGAAATCCTCAGTTCATGGTGGTCTGCGCCTCAGCCAGGACAGCCAGAAACTGGAAGAGGTGTCAACGTGCTGAGAGCCAAAGGTCGAAATGCAGAAGGTCCTCACCGAGTTCCTGGCGCTGGACCAGGACGAAGAAGACGCCTTTTTTTCGCCCTTCGCCGGGGCTTCAGACGAGCGCTGGGCGCCAGCGCACGAGAGCGCTCGCTTCCCGAGCCCGGAGGAGACGCGCCGGAGCTTCAGCAACAAGGCGCAAAGCGCCGCGGCTCTGTCTCTGCTTGCTGCTCTGCTTTGCTCTCTGCAAAGGCGTGCGAGACCACTGCCGAACTCCTCGTGAAGCCTGAGACATCCATGTCACCGAGCTTGTCAGCCCTGCTATGCCCTCCTATGCCTATGCCGATCCAGTCTCAATCGTCTACTCCGAGGTGTCCGTGGCAGTGGAACAGCAGCTGGGGGTGCATTGTGAGGACGTTGAGCAGGCCATTGAGACCTTCGTTTCCGAGTATCGGGCAAAACGGGCTGGCTATAATCTTTTGTCTTGTGCGAGGCAGTGATGCAGTGCTGAACCTAGATTTCCGAGAAGAGCCGTAGATGCCAAACTCTGCTTCAACACGGTACTGCACAGGCACGAAGAGGTGCTGGTAAACCATCCAGAGCACGGTGTCCCAGGAGAGTTACTTGTACGGCGAGACTGTTGCTGGCTTACTGCGAGGTTTGCCCGCTGCACCGACCAGCTCGCGAACATGATGCAGCCAGCGCCCCATTTCAGAAGACTTTGTCGCCGCTGCGATGAGAACTTCCGGCAAGACTTGAAAGGCATTTGACGGGTGCCGCCCAGCCTCGGGCCAACAAGGCACCTGCCGCGAGCAAGCCCGAGCAAGCCCCCTGGAGCCTTCTGGAGCAAACAGGCGGATTTCCTGGAGGTTCTCCGAAATATGGCGGACCACTCCCAGAAGGCCAAGGACCTCGACAAACAAGACAGCGCCTTGCTGGCCTTGGCAAGCAAGATGCCGTCGCTTACTGGCACTCACACGCAGACGCAGGACTTCGCCAAAAAGGTCTACGAAGAGTACCGGGCCTGATTCTCAGCATGAAACACCACACATTTTCTGGCTCTCAGAAGTATGCCGGGCCTGTGAGGCGAAGACCTGTCCGGTCAGCGATGCCTACCGCCGCTTCGAGGAGCGAACGAAAGACGTGTGACTCTTCGGCTCAAGTGCACTTCATTCTGACTCTCTTTGGGGCGGTGCTGACATCGCACGAGCCCTCGGTGCCTGGTTGTCTGTTGATGTCCTCTTCTTTGCGGCAGAGCACTGCCTGGAGGACTTTGCCGCCGAGGCGCCGGCTGCAAAGGAGGGCCTCGAGGTGCCTTGGCCTTGGAGGGGAGAGCGCACTGTCTTTGCGTCTTTTCTCCAGGCGGTTCATTTTTTCAACTCGCAGCAAACCGATTCGCCAACCGTGCTCCCGGCGACCATGTCATCAAGCTTCCGCCGCTCCTTCCAGCTTTCCGGATATCCATACTCGTTTTGCAGGGTTTCCACCATTTGATCCCTCCCCCACACCAGCAAATCTCCAGGAATAATAGCGAAAGGGGGCTTATGGGGGGGTTTTTTCAAGGTCGATTTTCGCGAAACGTTTCATCGAAAACGGCGTCTTCGAGCTCTGAGGCGGAAGAACTTCGAGGCCGAAAGGAGTTCTTCAGGGTCGAAATCGCGATACGTTTCATCGAAAACGGCCTCTTCGAGTTCTATGGAAAAACGAAACAGAGGAAGGAGTTCTTCAGGATCGAAATCGTGTTACGTTTCTTCGAAAACAGCCTCTTCGATCAAGGTCGGAATTCCGACTTTGCTCATGAATTTCACATCGAGTTACGTTTTCGGCTTTTTTCATCACAAAATGCAATAACGGTTTCAACAATGATTCAATAATGATTCAAGAATGTTTCAACAATGATTCAATAATGATTCAAGAATGATTCAATAATGATTCAATAATGATGTTATAATGCTGCTATGAGTCTATCCGAGTCTCTACCCCAAGACTCGACAAAGACTCCACAGGTCACTACGCTCACTACGTGGTCACCACGCTATCGCAACAAAATACTTGAGCAATCCAACTCGCTCATTTCTCCAACGAGACCCGCGAAATCAGTCCGCATCGTCGGGATCAGACCTGATGCAAAAAGAAACAGCTCTTAAAACAGAATGGCTGAAGCCGATAGAAGACGTGAAATCATCAGGCAGGTCTACACGAACCCTAGGACGGGCTTCGGCAACCTAGATCAAACTCTGCGGCAGGCTAGAGCTCGCGATCAAACAATCAGCCGAGGCGACGTGCGCCTGTTCCTTAACAGCCTCATCGTGCGTCAAGACAGACCCGAAAGAGGGCACAACGGTTTCGTGCCTCCAGAGCCGATGTTCCAGCTGCAAGTGGACCTCGCTGACATGACAGCTTTCGCCCAAGGTCCGTACAAGTACATGCTCGTAGCGATCGACACTTTCAGCAAGAAGCTAACAGCAGTACCAATGGCCAACAAAGACGCCGCCACAGCATCCAGAGCATGGGATAAAGTTGTCAAGGATCTCGGCATACCGCTAACGGTTTACAGCGACGACGGCAGCGAGTTTAAGCGTGAATTCAAACAGAAGCTGGACTACTTCGACATCGACAAAGTGGTGACTAGGGGCCACGCCACGGTGGCCGAACGAGCCATCAGGACCCTCAAAGAAGCACTCATCCGCAGGCTTTCAGAAGGAGTGGGCAGAAGGAATCAATGGCATCTCCTGCTACCCGATATCCTAGCGCAGTACAACGAAAACCCCCACTCAACCACAGGCTTCGCTCCAGACAAAGTGTATGACGATCATGAAACCGCAGACGAGGCCTTGACCAGGATGAAGCGCAACGTCAGGATGAATGCCGGAGCGAGGCCTCAAATAGCGGTGGGAGATTTAGTTCGGGTTAGGGTTAAACCTATCGAGAGTAGGGGCACTTACAGAGTTACGGAAGTAGCCTGGAGCGAACGTGTCTACACAGTCGCCAGAATCGAAAACACAGACGGCGGACCCTACTTCTTCCTCGAGGGCTGGACCGGAGATAAGCTCGTGCGACGAGACCTGAGGAAGGTGGACTCCGAGGATCAAAGACGCAGATTCCCCATGCAGTCGAAAGAGCAGCGCGGAAGACAAGCAGCCCAAAACCGCAGACTACCTGCCCCAGGTCCTATCGCTCCACCCTGATTGCAAACTCAGCGCCGAGCCTCAAAGCGATGCGCAAGAAGTCGAGAACACCTGCCGATGCGAAAGCACTCTACCCTAGCTCACAGAAAAGAAGGCGCACGATGACAGTCCACTCAAGCTGCAGTCAAGTGCGGTCCTGGGCTTAGCCGCTCGCCATCGATCAAAGCAAAGATTTTCACACCTCCTCTCAGCGATCCCCTTCTGGAGGGTTGTTTCTGTAGCACATCCCGCCCTAGCAGCAGATGTGGAAGTCCCGGCGCATCATTCGTGCGAGTGCAAAGCTTAATCGAGCACCGAAGTTAGCTTCATAAACAAAAGCCTATGACATCTATCCTAGAGGGAAGAGCTCGCAAAAAAGCCTCACCCGCTCGAACCCTGTGCTGCGCGGTGAGTTCTCCGACGACTGCTCGGAAACTCCTGTACTGTACAACTAAAAAACTCTTCAGCACGACCGGAGGTAACTGGTGTTGAACAGCTTGCCCACGAACTGCCCATTGCTCGCCCTCTCGCGATGCAAGAAGCCGACCTCGCCATGCGCGAAGCCGAGGATGTGGTTCATCAGGTGGAAGGCCGCCACATCGGACCGCTCCTCGAAGCCACGCGCCCCTCTCTGCAGCGCCGCCCAGCACGCGGCCCAGACCTCGTTGTTCTTGAAGTGCCCGAGCGGCCTGGAACGATGCGCATCGAGCTGCCATGCCTTCGTGTTCAACGCCGTGAGGCCGCGCTTGTGGATCTCCACGACCTCGTTCACATGATGACGGCAGCCCAGGCGGCGGAACTCCACCTTGTGCTCGCCTCCGCTCTCCAAGATGGCCCGGTAGAGCTCGTGGTCCAGCTTCTTGCGCTCGCTCTTCGGAACGCCCTTGGCCCGCTCCTTGCTCTCCCCCTCGGTCTTGCTAAGCGAGTACATCTTCGGCGCCAAGCCGACCCACTCGACGCCGTAGTGAGGCGCCAACTCGTCCGAGAAGTTGCCGAGCTCGCCAGCGCGGCGAAGTGCGAGCTCTCGGCTTTCCTCGCACAGCGGAGCCAGGTGCTCCTTCAGGGCGGCGTCCTTCGCATCGCCAGCCACATCGAAGAAAGGAGCGGCGCCTCGCAAGTTGGCCTTCGCCAGGGCGATCTTCGGGTCTTGGTCGCTGAAGATCTGCAGGACGCTGCTGTCAGTGTCGCCTCCCAGCCATCTCACGCGGCTCTGCTCGGGCTTCAAGTCGCTCGGGTCGTCCGCCGGGTCGACGCTCTTGAGAAGATCGCCGTCGAAGACGAGGCGGATCCCGTAGTGCGCCCTCATCATCAGCAAGCGCGACTCCTCCAGCACCTTCCAGCCGCCTTGGAGAAAGGATCTCAAGACATTTGCCTTGCCGGCCTTCTGCACGTCGACGAAGGCCAAGAAAGCGCGCTCCTCCATGATCTGCGGATGGATGTCCAGCATGTTGGGTTTGGATGCCGCCGCTTGGAACTTCAAGCCGTCCGTGTAGACGCGAGTGGCCCTGAAGTTCTCCTGGTTCTGCACCATCTTGCCGTACTGGACGTTGCCCGTAAGCTTCTGAACTTCCGCTTGGAGTTTGCGACCGCTCTTCTTGTACTCGCGGCGAGTCTCCACGGTTTGGCGAACGAAGCTCTTCATCCAGGTATGGCAGCGGAAGGACACGCAGCTGTGAGCGTCATAGACCCGAACGCCGAGGTGCTCCACGATGAACTTGAGGTACCGAAGGTCGACGGCTTCTTTCAGATGCAACCCCAAGTAAGGTACAAGCTTAGGCGTCGCCGAAACAACTTGACCGTCCTGGATGAGGGACTGGGTGTAAGGGCTGAGTTGCGACCTCGTCACCGACATCTTGCAAACGGGAGCCCAATCCACGCAAGAGTGGCGAAACCACGGCACATCGAAGCTCGCCTCGATCATGAAGCAAACCTCCTCATCGTCCCGTTCGTAGTCCACCCGCTCGAAGAGCGCGTTGAGGTAGCACAGCCTCTCCTTCTTGGACACGGGCATCTCGACCCACTGACCGCCGTCGGTAGGCATCGGCTTCTCCATGATGGAAGGGTACATGCTGTTCACGTCGTAGAACAGAATCCACGACTGCTCTCGAGCGGGATCGAAGTCGGGCAACATGGGGTTGTTGGCCGCCGCAAACGGCTGAGCGATGTGCCCGAGGCCTCCTCTGATGTTCGCCTTGGTCAGCTCGTACACCCTCCGATCGGTCATGAGCCCGAGACCGAGATCCCGACGAGGACAGCACTTGCGTAGCATGGCGTCATGACTCGCCGATGCGTGCGTGATGTACTGACAGGGGTCGAGGTGGAAGTTGTCCCAAAACGTGTCTCGATACCGCTCCATCACATCTCCCAGTGCGAGGTCTGTGCGCAAATACGTGTCATGAAATGCGCCGAGGCTCTCGAAGTCGAAGAACTCGACGATCTGCTTGACGGTCTCGTATTTCTCCTCGGAGCACGCCTCGCCGGTGAGCGTGTTGTCGTAGGCCTCGCGAGGAAGCAAAGCCGGCCACGACCAGCAAGCCGGATCACAAAGAGCGTCAAACGGCATCGGGATCTTCTTGAGCAGCAACTCCCAAACCTTGGTCCGACGCTCGGACGCGCCCCGCTCCGCCTCCGCGAAGATGGGATGGCGCCGCGCCAGCAGGGGAAAGGCTTCGCTGGGATTCGAGCAGCTCGCCTTGCAGTCTTCGATCAAGGAGCTCAGGCTGGTCGGGAAAACGTTCAAGGAGTCGAGGAAGCGCAGAGGCCCGAAAGACAGCATCAAGCACTTCTCCCCGCTTTTCACCAGAGCGCCCAGCCTCATCTTGGAAAGATCGCAGCGCCACGGATCAAACCCGACGTCGCCCCCCTCGCCCTCGCCGTCATCGTCGCCGTCGGACTCCGCGGTCTCGGCGAGGAGCGCGGCGATGTAGTCCTCATGACGCCCATAACCCTTCTCATGAGCCAGGAAGCGGAGCAGGTAGTGGAAGTCGTAGGAGGCGCCGTTGTGGAAGTAGCAGGGCAGGCTCGTCGGCAGGCGGATGAGCAAGTTGCACTTGTTGCAAGCCGCACTCAGGAACTTGCCCGTCCCATGTTCATGATGCGCCACTTTAGGATTCCCTTGCTCGAAGCCCCCGCCGCAGATCTCGCAGGTCTCGGCGTGGTTGAAGCGACGTTGGTCGGCCTGAGTCATACGGCAGGGCTTGTTTGTGCGCAGACGCCACTCTCGGTAGCGTTTGGCCAGCTCGAGAAGACTGCGGAGGAAGAGCTCCACGATGCCGAACTCGCCAGACTCCTCGGTCGCCCGCTCCAGCCGAAGTCGATGTAACGAGGGGACCTGGAAGCCGCAACGCCCGACCGCCATGTACGCAAAGGATGCGACTCGATCCTGCTTGGCTAGAACGCTCTGACCGGCAAGTTGCTGGGGCGCCTTGGTGTTGAAGGTCTCAAAGTCGGCGTAGCAAACACAGGGATGCATGGCAGCTGAAGGGCCGGCCTTGTAGTGGAGCGTGGCGGCGCTTCTCTCCGGCATTAGCATCCTATCCACCTGGCGCTTGCCGGGATCCTCAGAACACACCCTCCCAGCCAAGTGTCGCCCGAGCGCTTCTGGGCTATTGAAGTTGCCCATGCAACGATGGCAACGGTTCCAGGAGTGGTGTGTGCTTGCCTGCTGACTCTCCGGAAACGAGAGACTGCGAGTGCTCGAAAGCTGGTTGAAGTCGTAGATGAGCACGTAGTGGTTGTCGTGATGCAGGAGTAGTATCGAACGCGCGGCCTGGGTTTCCAGCGAGGGGGAACGCACCGGCATGAGGAAGTGGAAGTCGTCGTTGACCCACGGCACTCGCGACCACTGGTACACAAAGATCTCCACCAAACCGGCGTTCCCGAGCTCAAACTTCTCGATGTCCTCGAAGGCGACCGCGCTTTCTTCCGGGAGCATGCTGAAGTCGATGGCTTGCTCGTTGACATAAACACCGACAGGATCCGAAAGTCGCATCCTCTTGCTAGGGCGTCCGTTCGGGAGGTCGTAGAAAGGTCGCCCTCTGCACTCGGAGACCTTTTTGCGATACTCATTGCCCCAGTCGCGACAACCCAGGAGCTCGGCCATCACGCAGTAGCGGAAGCACTTGTTGTCGGCGTTCTTGGGGGACCAGAGCCCCTTCTTGCCGTGCTTCAAGAGCTCCGGCAACTCCTTCCAGCAGCCTCCGGCGAAGTTTGCGCCAGGAGCCGCAGGAAGCTGAGCGAGCTCCCGGCTCGGAGTCGTGTAGATCTGCATGTCGATGATGCCCTCGAACTTCTGGAGCGAGTTGTGGAACCTAGCATGCTCCAGGCGATCTTCGAGAGTCCTCTGAGCCATCGACACGATGTAGCGACGAAGCCTCTCGTCGGGGTTTGCGAGCGGGCGGACCAACGAGGGCACCGTGGCAATGCGGCGCTCGCTGTAGACAATCTCCCGCTCGCCGCTCTCCGGATCCACGATCTCCTCCGAAAGGCGCACGCGCATGACGATCTTCACCATGAACGGGAGCTGCACGGTCAGGAGGTCTTGCATCGACTCCTGCGCCAACCTCAGGCTCTCCACGCTCAAGTACTGTCCAGGCGGAGCGTCCAAGGAGATCTGGCGCAACCAGAAGGTGTTGCGCTGAGGATTCAAGCTTCGAACCCTGGCCGCAGCAGGTTGAGCCACAGCAGCTCGAGGCTCGTCGAGAGGCACCGCCCTCTGGCGGTTCATGAGCAGCAAGAAGGCTTCCGCCATGATTATTAAGAATGTTTCCTATGCGAATGACAAAATTACACGACCATCCGGCTTCGACTCAAGGTTCGCTGAAAGCATCGAGAACACCACTAGCTTGCGTCATCACAAATCGCTCGACAGTCATCCTGAAGAAAGCTTGGGTCGGCGCAAAGCGAACATCAAGGCAAGTACGCCGGTCAGAGCTAAGCATATCCTCAGGGCGACGCCGCTGGCGTTACTGCAGCAACAGAGGCCTCGAATCGTCGAAGGTGTCGAAGAGAGAGTCGTCGCGAGTCTGGGCGCGGTTCTGGAATGTGTCAGGACCCTCATGCGCACTCGTCAAAACCCAACGGCTCCAAAGCCCGAAAAAAACCACAACTGAGCATCTCGGCGTAAAGATCGGACAGCCGTCGAAGAAGCTAGACCTAGGCGTCAAGGAATGCAGACAAATCACGCGACGGTCTAAATCAGCTCGCCGACGAAAAGAAAGGGCAAATGTTCGCGTTCATTTTCTCACCGATGTGATAGGATCTTGGTCTGTAGAGGCTCACCCGCTGTACTTTAAAGGGCGAACAATCGCTGTACGCTGCTAGAGGAGAGCTGCTACTGCGAGCCCAAGCAGCAGGCGGATAGGGACGTGGGCCCTCCGCCAGACGATCGGAGTCCGTTTCGAACTCACGTCACAAAAATCATTTCTTAGCAAAGAACGCCCTCAGCGATTTGCTGACTGACGGGGCCGCGTTGGCGCCCTCAGCAGACGGGCCCTCAGCTGCGTCGGACTGAATCTTGTTCTGTTTCTCACAGCTCTTGTTGTACTTGTCGACAATCTTCTGGTGCGAGGCTTCGTCTTTCTTGCGCTTTTTCTCGGCAGCCTCGCTCTTCTTGCGATCGGCGTCGGCTTTCTTCTGGGCTTTCTTCTCGTCGTTCTCGGCTTTCTTGTGCTCGCGCTCGCGCTTCTTGCGATCGGCCTCGGATTTCTTCTCATCTTTCTTGCGGGCGTTCTCGGCCTTCTTCTCCTCCTTCTTCCGCTCGGCCTCGGGATCAATCTTGCGCTTCTTGCCGCCCTCGGGATTGGCTCCATCCGCCGCCTGGGACGCGTTGCTAGCCCTGCGAGGCCTCTCGAACAAGGATCGCAAGGTGCCCAAAAGCCTGTTCTCAGACTCCAGCACAAAGTCGCGGGTCCTGTGCTCAGACGCCGCGATGGCGTTGCCGACGTCTTGACACACTGTGGCAGTAGCGGCCTCCACGGATCCGATCATGCGGTTGGTCTCCGTCGTTTGGTGCTCCGTCAGCACGGCGACGGCCGCACTTCGATTGGCGACCTGCTGCCGCCTGAGTTCCTGCTGACGAGTCCTAAGTGCTACCATCTGCTCTTCGGTCAGCGGAACGCCTCGTAGGCTCTTCCCCGTTTCCAACTGCACCTTGATGTCGTGGAGAGTCTTCTTGAGGGGAGTCCTCGTGGCGGGAGTCTGCATGGCGACTGACAAGCTTACTTCAGCCCCTCTGACGGCTACGAATTTGAGCTCGCAAAATGCTGCTATCGCAGTCGTTAGCTGTGCTTTTGCAAACATGTTGGGCAGACGCTTGCTCTCAGTCTCCAGCTCAAAAAAGAAGACAGCAGGGCAAGCTGTAGAAGCATCGCGACAAAAGGAGTTGTTTTTTTCCAGACGACGAAAAGCGGGCTCTAAGGATTGCAGACTGCCAGGGAACCAGAGCTGAAGTTCTGTACGTAAGCTCGCGTTTCGCTGCTTGTTTCTCCTGTCCCGCAGCGTGGCGAGCAAAACCTTCAGATCAATCCGCAGGCGCGCTGAACCGATTGATACATCAGGTCGTCGGTGATGTCGATCGAGAGCCATGCGACCTCAGTCACGGGAAAGCTCGTGCCGTCGGTTAGCCAAACTTTTCCCAGCTCGTCAAATCTCTCGAAAGGCGGCCTGTCGATGTCGTCGACGTGTAAGACATTAACCTCCATAACTCCCTCGCCCAATGCCGGGATCATACGCAGCGTTGCTGAGACTTCAGGTTCGCCTTCGACCATCAAGTTCCAATGTGGCGTCCGACCACCCCAGAAACATGCACAACAAACCACGCCGAAGAAATCAGTATCATATCCGTCTCGACTTTGCCACCAGGTTCGAAATGCTCGACGACGCTCTGCCAGACTCACAGCCAACTTCGACCAGTAAGGCATGGCTACCACGCACAAAATCGAGCTTCAAAAGGCCACCCGCTAGCGACAAGAACTCAACCTCGAGCCAAATCCGAAAACTGCTTCAGTTCGCTGGAGCTCTCGCCGGCAAAAATCCTGAGCAAACGGCACAAGACGCGATCCAAGATGAAGCCCTCGTCGACGTTGGGACCTGGGCTCGGAATTCTCAGGAAGGGATGCCTACAGCACTCAAGGACTGCAGCAGACGACAACGTTCGAGCCTACCCGCACTCAAACAAAGCAACCCGAGCCCGAAAAACTCTTAAACCGTTTCTGAGGAGCGGCACGTCGCGAGAGGTCGCCAAACCTGGACGCGGGAGAGGGGGCCGGGGCTCCCGGACGGATGAGGACGCTGGGCACTCTAGATTACTGGGGTGGCGCCACAATCACGACGCCATAAACCCCAAACCAAACAACACTCGAAGTCCGAACGAAAAAAAACCTGCAAAGTCTGAAAACCCTCGATCTCGGCGTCTGGCGAAGAAGGCTGCAACGGAGGTCCAGCAGGTCACTACAGGTCACTACGGGTCACTACGGGTCACTACGGGTCACTACGGGTCACTACGGCTCAATGTGTCTCAGCAGCGGTCTTGAAGCAGCAGGCGCAGCGCCCTCAAAAAAACCCTCAGGCGCCGACGCGAACAATGAAGGCGAAGAGAGTTGAACCTGAGCCGGAGCTCGCGTCTGGGAGCAGGATTGCAGAGCGCTCAAGTTGCAAACGACGGGCTAATACCCCTTCCAGCACGAACAAAACCCCGCACAAATCCGAAAAAGGAACCCTCACAACACCTCCCGGGCTGGCACTCTGAGGGTCGGCGACCGGCCCAGCGCAAGGACAGTCCAGACCTGGGCGGAGCGGAAGGTTAAGGGGGCGTTAAGGCGGCAGAAGGCGCACTAGCAGATGGCCTCGGGAACTCAGGGCACTCGCACGACAGGAAACCCAACCCGAACCCGAAGAAATTCTGGGAACGCCGCCAGTGAAGAAGCTCCAGACCTGGGCGAGGGCAAGGGCGGCCTACGGGGGCAGGGCGACGGGACAGGGCAGTGAGAGGCGACCTAGGGGTTAGGCAAGGGGAACCCGAACGCCGAAGCAACCCAAGCAAACTGAGGTCCCGACGCGAGCCCACCCACCCGCCCAACCGCCCGCACCTACCCCCCACCCTACAAGCTTGAACCTGCGAGCGCGGAAACAAAAGAAATCAACGCCGGGAGAGGGCGCAAGGCAGCTGGGTTCCAAGTTAGTTCGGGCTCGGGACTCCGGGGCACAAACAAGAGGCACTCAAGTTCAATCGGCCTTTTCAAAAACCTCGAGAACAGATACCGCTTGATCATAGCCAGAAGCCCGCGAGCTGTGAGAAGGAACCAAACCGCGGCTGCAAGTCGTCTACAAAAGATCTATCGCTCTCACAGCATGACTCAGTCCATGGAGTCCAGGCTGCCCAGACTTGATGCCGACGTCTTGGCTTCGTCGTCCTGCTTCTCGCCTTTCGCCTTGCGTTTGTTCTTCTTTTTCTTCTTCTTGGAGCCTTCGGCCTTGTCGTTCTCGCCTGCTGCAGCGTCGTCAGCCACCAGTGGCTCGGGGAGGCAATCACAGAAGGAAATCGGGAGCTGCATCACTCCATCGCCTGCAGAGTCCTCTGTCTTGGCCTTGCGATACGCCTCCTGACACTTGACGGCGAAGACGAGCTGCCTCAGAGATGAAGTTTCGAGACACCGAAAGACTACGAGACGTGGCAACTGCCGACACCAACTTACCCAGCCTTACTGTTGCCAAGAAACTCTTGCTGGTTGAGTGTGCTCCACCAGGCCCCATTGACTGCAACCTCCATCACCTGGTCGTCATACATCTCGATTGCCACCCGCGCATCCATGCTGTTCGCTCTCATGTCTACGTGTGCCGCCTCCGCGATGCCGTGCTGCCTGCTGTGCTGCCTGCTGTGCTGCCTGCTGTGCTGCCTGCTGTGCTGCCTGCTGTGCTACCTGCATGCTGCCGCGCTGCTGGGCTGATGTGCTGTGTTGCCCGCGAGCCACGTGCACCCTAGCTGGTGGACCGCGGCGCGGAAACAAAACCTGAATGCAGGGACGCCGGGTGAGGTACCTACGGGTTAGGGTGGCAGGGCACTCACAGGGCAGACGGGGAGCAAAAGCCTACTTCGGGGCCGAAAGGGGTAGGGTGCCCTGAACCAAACCAAAAGCAACCCCGGCGAAAGCACTCTAGCAAAATGTTACTGCAAAAGTCGGCGGGCCTAGCTACACTACAAATCAAAAAAAAACATCAGTGAGCAAAGGCGAGTGAGCATCTGTGAGCATCCTAAACCCCCACGGATCAGGTCGGCGGCGGCCACAGGCTCGCCGCGAATCGACACTGAGCGCACCCAGCCACGAAAACTTGAGCCAAACCTAGGGGACGTATCCACCGAAATCGCGCTCTCGCCACAGTTTGGTGTGAAACGGCCCGGCAAAGCCTTTTGGGCCATGCGCGGGCCTTCTCGAGGCTGGCTGTGTCGCTTTTGGCCGGCGGGCCCGGGAGGGTGTGTGAAACATAGGCAGGGCGCACCCCGAAGATCGGGGCCGCGGCGGTTCCGTGATGCCTGGCGATTTCGTGTGGCTGTGTTCGACCCATCCTAAACCCTCCCCGAGCACGTTCCGGGGCTGGCCGGCACCGATTTGACAGGAAAGGCCCGATCCGGCCGAAATCGTGCTCAAACCCTAGGCGGGGCGCGCGCCGAAATCGGGCTCTCGCCGGCGCGTGGTCGGCTCGCAAAACGGCCGGCCGTCGGGGGCCGTCGGGGCGCACCCTCGCCGGGCGGCTTCAAAATCCCGAAAAATTGGGGTGCGGCATGGTGTTTTAGGGCCAATCCTGGTTTTCGCACAGAATCAGGCAGAGGCAAGATTCGAAAATGGACACCGCTCGCCGCTCGACTCCTTCAGCATGAGATCGGTAACTTCGACCAAGAGGCCACACTGCCCCGTCATCAGCCAGACCTGTCGGAGCTCGCACCTCACCTTGCACTCCCGTCCCGCAAGCTCACCGACTTCCTTGAGCACCTCGCCCTTCGGACCCCACACTCGCAACCTATCCCAGTCCATCTTGGTCTTCAGAAAAGCTTCGCTCCGAGCGTTCGTCTTCAAGCACGACAGGAATCGCTCCTTGACCTCCGACTCCCTCTGGGGCTTGCCGAAAAGCCTGGTATCCTTCTCCGCCAGACTCGCCAAGCTCCGCGCGAGGCGCTCCTCAACGTCGCGGAAGAAGGCTCTGGTGGCCTCGTCGGTTTCGAGACAGAGCGACGCCCGTCGTGCGGTAGGATCTTTGAACCCGCTCGGGTGCCAGAGGATCTTGAGCCAGTCGGCAGACGTCCACTCGGTCGAACGCCCGCCTTTGCCCCGCAACGGGAAGAACTTCCCTCCCTGCTTGTTGAAAGACAGATCGCCGAGCTCAACTGCCAGGCCTGGCTTGCTGCTCATGCTTCTTTTTCTCTCCCGAATAAAAAATATGTCGTCCGCCGAACGAGCCGAGTCGCCCGTGACCTCGGGAGAGTGCCTCTGTGCGCTGATCGCACTGGTGGGCGTCATCGCGGCCATGTGGCTTTTGTCGTCGCCCTGGGAAAAACATGAGACTGCTGGAGTTGTTCTCCGGCACGAAGAGCATCGGCCGAGCCTTCGAGGCCCTTGGCTGGCAGGTTACGAGTCTCGACTCTGACCCTCAGAGCCAGCCAAGCTTGTGCTGCGACGTCCTCGAGTGGGACTACCGAGCCTTCGAGCCCGGCCACTTCGACCTCGTCTGGGCCAGCCCCGTGTGCACCGAGTTCTCTCGAGCAATGACTCGCCGACCCCGTCGGTTGGAGGAGGGCGACCGCCTGGTGCTCCGAACCGTCGAGATCATCGGCTACCTTCGCCCGCGGTGGTGGGCCATCGAAAACCCCAGGAGCGGACTGCTCAAGAGCCGCAGCTACATGAAAGGCCTCCCCTTCGATGACGTGACCTACTGCCAGTACGGCTATCGCTATCGGAAAGCGACCCGCATCTGGAACAATCTGCCCTGGCACCCCAGTCGACCCGTGTGCTGCAGGAGTCGCCGCTGCGAGGCCTTCAACAATGGTCGCCACGCCGAGACGGCGCAACGCCAGGGCGCCAAAGAACGAATCGGCCAGACTCGGGACCAACTTTACTCCATCCCGCCTCGGTTGTGCGAGGAGATCGCCGCGAGTGTAAATGTGCCTGTACCAATGCTACAAAGCACTGTGGAGTAAAAAGACATGGGCAAAATCAAAGTCTTCAATACGCCGGAGTATCAGGTAAAGCAGCCGCGCGACCCAATCGTCCCGCGCGTGCCGTGCACTGGCATGCTGCTCGGTCCCTCGAAGTCGGGCAAAACGGTGGCGCTGATCAGCTTGCTGCTGGACCAGTATCGCACGGCCAGCGGTGAATCCGTTTGGGAAAGGCTGTACTGTTTTTCGCCTTCGGTGTTTATTGATGATGCCTGGAAGCCCGTGATCAAGTTCATCGAGGAGAAGATGGGCGTTAACATGGAGCGCGAGAAGGTGCTTTTTGACACCTGGGACGAGGGGGCCCTGAGGACCATCATCGAGCAGCAGCGCAAACTTACGACAAAAACCAAGCAGCTTGGATACAAAAAGCTGTACGGCGTAGCCGTCATCGTGGATGACTTCTCAGACCAACCGGAGCTCCACAAGAAAAACGGCGAGGGAGCGCTGGACACCCTGCTGTGTCGGGGGAGGCACCTCCAAATCAGCACCATCCTGTCCTGCCAGAAGCTCCGCGTGGTGAGCAACTGCATCCGGGTCAACCTTCAATTCATGTGCATCTGGCGCCTCCGCAACGCCCTGGAGATTCAGGCCGTCATTGAAGAGCTCAGCGCTCTCCTGCCCAAGGAGGAGCTCCACGCCATGTACCAGGAAGCCACCCGCGAACCTTACTCGTTTTGGTTCATCTATTTCCTGAAGCCAAAAAGCGAGATGTTCTACAAGCGCTTCGAAGAACGCTTCGTGATCGAAAATGGGGACGATCCTGAGCCAAGTGGTGGGCAAGCTGCTGGGCAACGGCCCGATCTGCGACAGTGAGTGCCATCATGTGCAATGCTGCACGAGCACGCAGGGCGTCGTGGACCCGCGGCGGCTGCCCTACCCGGAGCGGGCCCGGCAGATCAGCAACGAGTCCGACCAGTCGACGGGCCGCAGCTTCTTCCGTCGTAGAAGGAAAATGAGCTGCACGGTGTACGTGGACTCCCGGAAGCGGACTGCGGGGGACGACAGCTCCTTCGAGTATGATCTGGGAGAGACCCTGCACCTCCAAACGGGCGCCAAGCTCTCGGTCGGCAAGTTTCGCGTGGCCGACGCCTTCCTGTCCACGGACAGGGGCCAATACCTGTACTGGCGGGACACTGCCCTGGGCACGCTGAACTGGGCGGTGCTGCCGATCGGGGCCTACACCGGCGCCCGACTGGCCGCCTGGATCAGCAGCAACTACGCTTCCGCCACCTACGTCGAATCAACGAATGAGATAGGGATGGCTTTCGATGGCAATCGCCGCGTGCTCCAGGATGCGGAGCTCCGGGAGCTCTTCCCCGACGCCGCGAGCTACCCTGCGGGCGCCACGCCCGCCCGGCCGCGCTCAATCAACCACCTGTTAGGGCCGTCTTTTATCGACGGCACGCTCCAAATTTTCACGTTTGTGACGATGGCGCCATACAATGAATTATACCTGCGCTGCAGCACGCTGGCCACCGCGGCCGACATCCGAGGGCAGCTGGGCTCCGATGTGATATGCAAAATGATAATCGACAAAGGAGTGGGTCATATTATGCAGTCGAGAACAGACGAGGGGCATTTCCTCAAATTGCACGGCCCCATTACCTTGCGCACCCTTCGTTTCAAATTGACCGACGTGGATAGCAATGTAGTGAATACCCGCGGGACCAGCATTTCTTTTGCAATTTACCTGGACTACGAAAACTAATATGTTTATTCATAGGAAATGGCAGACAATGCGGAGGAGCCCCCCTTGGCTGAGCCGTCGGCTCCTGAGCCTGTGGCAGAGCCTGCGGCAGAGCCTGCACCAGAGCCTGAGCCGGCTCCGGCCGCCGTGCCCCCGCCGGAGCCCGCCAAGCCCGCGGAGCCCCCCGCCCAAGCGGAGAGGCAGACCTCCAGGCTCGAAGAACAAGCCGAAAGCCCCGAAGACGGTGCCCGCCGAAGAGGCCGTCCCAGCACCGGCTCCCGAGCCCGCGCAGCCTCCGAAGGCTCCGAGTCCGGCTCCCGCCCCTCCCGCCCCTCCCGCCCCCGAGCCCCCCGCAGAGCCCGTCAGGATGACGCCTGCGCAAGAGCGGGCCCTAAGGTACATGCAGCGGCAGGACCGGTACATGGAGCTGCTCGCACGAAATACGCACGAGCTATAAAGGAACCATGATGCCCCGAGCGGCGCAACGAACCCTTCATGCTTCGGCAGTTCCACAAGATGTATCCCAGCTATAACCTCAATCCCCTGTTGCGCCGGCGGCACCAGCAGCTCGTGGAGGCGCAAGCCTTTCTTTCTTTCGGACGCACTGTGAGTGAGCACAGCTAGCGAGATAGTTTACAGTATAGCGCAGTGGCCATACCGGCAACTCAAGGTTGCGGTTCTAGCAGAAATCCCGTGGCGAACCACAAGCAGATTCCAAGCCTCGGCACGAATGCCAAGCAGGCTGGAACGTACTACAAAGGAGTGAAAAAGTAACTAATCCAAAAACTGACAAGCCACAGCAATCACATGCAGCACTACATGATGCATCACGTCAGTCAGTGCAGCACTCACTCAGAAGTTGATATGGCATGAAAGAAATTTGCATTGCATTGCCAAAGCTCCCACTGCACAGTAAAAGCTCGCAGAAAAGTTGTAAGCGGAATCACGCCAATCGGATGCACCACAAGAGATACATGTTGCACGAAATGGCATGCACGTCCCCCTCAAGAACTGGAGCAGCATCGCAACCATCATCAGTGTACAAGGCACCTTTGTAGATGTGAGTTGTATCCTCCGCGTGCTCGCCAGTTCCTAGTGCGTTCTCAGATGAGCCCGGAGCCATCAGTACCGCACGATAATGACCTGTGGACGGTGTATTTCCCAGGTGCACAGAAATAGCAGTGACACGATATCGATGATATGCAGGATTTGCAGTGCCTGGTCGCTCCCGACATGGTATGTGGACCCTGCCATTCCCCAGCATAACCTGATGCAGGAGTTTGCGAATCCGGCGTCGACCATGAAATCGCAGTATCTGGATGCACAGCAATGGCGGGGCCTCAAAAATAAGTCGCCGCATGCCTTCCCCAGCATCTGTCCAGCGATCTATCAGCGCCTGCAAGGTAGTCAACTGCATGCTGTTTACATTGTCCAAGTGTACCATCACCGGCCCATGAAAGTCACCAACATCGCGTACCTCCCCAGTCGCCGTAATCATATGCCAAGCGCCCTGCATGGAATCTGGCCGAGCCTGCTGCATAACATGTGTCATCCGTGGCTCTCCAACCGGCGCCTCCGGCAGGAGGGCGAGACCTACGCGGACGAATTGGGCCGCATGACTGAGGCGGTCAACCGCCGCATCCCGCAACTGCGCTATGCCCCGGCAGAGCGCCAAGGCGTTCACAGGATGGCGCGGGACGTGGCCGCAGGTAGAAATACCAGCGAGTCGGGAGTGTACGGCGGTCTTATGTGAGATGAAGCTGGATCTGCAGCTCGCGAAGCGCGAGGGCATGTGGCTGCTCTCCAGTCCGGATGCCGAGATTCCCCTGGCCTACGAAGAGGACCTGGCCGACGACGACGGCCAGGAGATCCTGCGGCTCCTGGGCCGGCGGTGGACCCGCCCCCAGAGGGTGCTTGTGCGCTTCGACCCCGAGACCAAGACGGTCCTAAGCTACCTGTGCGAGATCGTCCAGCGGGCCAGCGACCGATCATACTTGGGCAAGCGAGGACTCAAGATCCATGTAAATGGAGGAGCGTAGAAGCAACGGCTTCCGCGTCAAGCCCAGCTTCGAGCTGAGGGCGAGCCCCTCGACATTCCCCTTCCCAACCGCAAGGCGAGCATCTACACCGCCTCGCACTGGTATCTAGACGATTACCCCAATGCTCCGGAGCCCATCAGCGATGCACCGATACCCCACACCCAGTTGAATCCCGCAGCCGCTTTTGAAACGGCCGACGAGGGCTACGACGGAGTCCCCTTCCCCCGCCCGCCAAGAGAGTTCACTCGGCCCAGCTTCCTGCCAGACTCCGACGACGGAGGCATGGATCCAGGGCAGGCCCTGCGCAACGACGGGCTCGATGCACCGAGGCCGCCGAGCCTCGGAGGCCGCATGAGGGAGTCGGGCATTCAAGCCGCGGAAGCGATCATCGCCGGAGGGGCTGCGGGCGCCGCGGCGGCGACCCGAAGCGTGGCCGAGAACCAGACATTTTGAACCGAGGAGGCGACTGGCTGGACAGAGCCCTGCGGATCCCCAGGAGGCCGCCGGGACTGGCGCCGCCCCCGGACGAGGTCCCGCCGCCCAACATCATCGGGAGGCCCAACGAGGTGGAGCCCCTGCTCGAGCGAGCGGGCCAGAGAGCCGCAGAGGTGGAGCGTGCGGCCGCGCAAGACATCGAGGCTTTCGCGTCGCAGCAGCTGGCAGAGGCGGAGGCCTCAGAAGGCTTTGCGACTGCAGCCGAAGCCGCGGCGGGCGCTGCCGAAGCAGCAACCGCGGCAGAAGCGGGCGGAGGAGCTCTTGCGCTCCTGGGCGAAGGAGCCCTGGCCACTGCTGGTGCCGTGGGCGCGGCGACGGGAGGGTTGGCGGTGGCTGCTGCAGGTGCAGCCTTGGTCGGAACGGCTTGGGCCATCGAGGGAGGCTTGAACGCGGCCTCCACCCTCACGGGCTGGGGTGCTGCCACAGGAGGCGGCACGGACAGCGATGCGTCGCGGCCGAGCGCGACCACGGACCTTGCGACGCTGAACGGGATGCAGGAATCGGGCGCCGTGGACCACTATTTTTGTGAGTTCCAAAGTCCTACTACAGGTCCAGAACCACCAATAATTATTTTTATGGTTATTTTATGATTATTCTATGATTTATTTTCCTGGTTTATGGTTTTTTTATGGTTTATTTATGCTTGGAATACGAATTCATAAAAAAACCATAAATAAACCGTATTGTATGATTTATTTATGTTTTTTTATGGAAAATATATGATTTGGCTGAATTCCTGTTTTATGGTTTTTTTATGATTTTTTTATGGCTTTGTTTGAATTGTTTTCTGTGTGTTTTTCCAATGTTTTGGATTTGCGACTCTCATATTAGTAATGGCTTTCATCCATTGGCAGTGGACAAGAATTCGAGCAAATAGACACTGATATAAGCACCGGTACGGGCATCTCTCGGGGTTTTCATTTTAGTTCGAAGTTTCGTATGGTCGTTTATTGAATCCGTTTTGGCAAGAATGACACTTAGGACATCGGGATCAACATGAGCTTCAGCTTCACAAGCAGCAGCATAAACCTCATATTACGTTGCAACATCTGCCCCCCGCCCTTCGGAATCCATGGACATATTGCCAAGGGGGCGCCGGATCAGGTACATGGGCCTTCTCGGCACCGTGAGTTGGAAGCATTTCCCCCCACGTCATTATCTGCCCTTAAATCGCGTCAGTAAGCCCAGAACAATAGACATATGATTCTGTCATAAAAAATTGCCCACAAACCTCACCCGAGCGACCTCAAGCCTCTTTGAATGCAACTCCAGGTCAGTTTCATGCTTGTCCTAATGTTCATTTGACATGCTTGTCCCGGTCTTCCAATCTTATTCCCCTGTTTACCTCAAATTCGAACGGCAACATGATTTTGGGCTGATGACAGGAGCTAAGTGTTAGCTGGCACTGCATGTTGGGTTGAACTCATCTGGACTGTATAGCGAGCCGTAGTTTTTCGTGGGGGGGGGCGGGTGGTAGCCGATGCTTGTGTCCGGTGTCGATGGAATGATTCACCTGGCTCGGCATATGTGTGAATCCCATTTCATGCTGTCATCAACTGGTGGGGCGTGAATGTTTAGGTTTAGCCCATGTGGTCAGGGCAGAACTGAAGCATGCTTCAGGCACGGTGGATGGCGCAACTATTTCGTGGGGTGCATGTTGAAAGATGCTTAATATGTTTGCAACATGTACATATGATATAACATATAACATATTATGACATATACATATTTACCGGTTGGACATCGCTTGGACCGCTTGGACATACACAAAGCATAACCACCACGACGACGAGAAATTCGATAACGATGTGCGGTTTAAACAAGCTTACAGGACAGCAGCAGACTCGATCAGACAGGACAGGAGAAAAAAATACAAAAAAACGTAGGCCGTAGGGAGAAATTGACAAAGTAAGGCCGAACCGTTAGCCGTTAGAATCAGTAGAGTGTGTCTGAACACATAGTTCCATGCCCACTTTCACTTACCACTGAATTACAGTATGCTATTCAATTCCATTCGTCATCAAGTCAGAAATGCGGAAAGTGCCGTATATATGCATACATACGAAATTATCACTGCTTATACATATAATTATCAGTGTATAGTATAGCAGCTAGCAGCTAGCAGCATGGCATCGCATAACAGAGCAATCCGTTCTACACAATTCTTCATTACATAGAAATAATCAAAAATTAACTGGCTGAAAAGCCAAATACTCTAGTAATCTAGTAAAAAATCACAGGATCTGATACACATTCAATACCAGTACCGCCACACGAAACATGTGATGTATGCAACAACAACACTGCAAACCAACGGCTCAGTCACCGTCACCGTCGGTCACCATCAACAGAATGTCACCTTCTCCTTCTGGGATCCTTGTCGTCCTAGTGTTGTCCTTCTTATTTCCAATCCTCGCCTCGCCTCACCACACTTCCCATCCCATCATCATCATCGTCATCCTCGGAACATCACCCTCCATCCTCCTCGTCACCATCACCACTACAATGCACATCCAAGCACAATAAACTGATGCAGTTGTGTCGCAAATCATGCCGCTATGAAATGCCATAGCTGCGAGCTGCCAGCAGATCACTGTTTTCATCCCCGGCTGTCGGAGTGACGGGGCCACGAGTGTCACGAGTGACCATCCCTTTCCGATCACACTGCAGTCGACAGAGTCTCGTGCTGATGCTTTTCTAGCTGGTACCCGGTACGGCCGATTACTGTAGGGTGAGGGCTTGAAGCTTAGGCTGCATCACTCGGTCGAGGGTCATCGGAGCTTGGAGGAAACGATGGAAAACTTCAAAGAAGGCTTCAGGCTCGGCTTTCAGGATGTGTGGGGCGCCGAAAACAGCGGGCTTCAGGGCTCAAGACTAAGTCCGAAATGTGCTCATGGTATTGTGACTTTCAGGCAGCCTTCCACAACCCCTGACTAGAGTCCACAACCTAGGGCCTAGTAGGGCCTAGAATGCCTAGAATAGAATTAAATAATTAGCAGATAATGACATACTGTCATTGCCGAGCCATAGCCGTAGCCTGGCAGATGATCGGGAATCCTTCGGATCCTTCACACCTTAAGTTTGGGCCTTTGGCCTGCAGCAGCCTTTGCACGATCTGCTGCTTCGCACACACTCTTGGCCTCCGCCAGCAACTGAGCACAGACCTTGTTCTCCGGCAGACCGTCTGCCAGCTCGGCAAGCTGAGACCGAAAGCCCTTCACTTTGGACTCATCGTCATCATTCTGGCAAAGCACAACAAGGGTTCCTTCGAGCAAGAAGATACGAATGTCAATCATTTCCGTCTTGCCGACCTGCAGCACCTTCACCAAACCACTCGTGCCCTCGAAGATGCTGCTCACTTTGTTCAGCCATGAGGTGCCTTCCTCCAGAGCCTGTGGATTGCGGAAGCGAGTACGGCAGAGTGGCAAGATGGCACTGGTAGAGGTAAAGTCGATGCTGTTATCATTAGATCATTACAGCAAACACACCCCGCACTGCACACAGCAAGTATTCAGCATTAGGGCCCAGGGCCCAAGCATACACACCTCTCCAGCCCCACATGGCCTTCACAGCCCTAGTCTGGCAGCTAGCAGCAGCAGTCAGCAGCACATGGGCCGGACATCACACACAACGGCAAACATCAGCCACCAGAAGCCCATGAGCCACTGGCAGAACCAGACGTGATTCCGGGGCAGCGCAACAACAATTGGGTTCCAGAACCGTGAATGTTGACTAATGGCAACCACTCCACACAAACGGCGCACTATGAAAGTTTTGCAGCCTGGCTCAACCCATGAAGAAACGGATGTGCCTTGCCTTATGGCATGTAGCAGCAATGCAGCAGTCTAGCCAGTCTAGTAGTTGTCTAGTTTAGTGACTCGTAGGAAAACATCCGCCTGACAATGGACCGCTTTGCAGCAAACAAACGTAAGATGTACAAAAAAATGGATGTCGGATGTGCCTGCCGGAAACGGTCCGCGACAGCCTCCAGCTTGTTGACATCGATCCACATGATGGCTGCGTTGGCACAGGTGAGGGTCTCCTTCAAGGACATGTTGTCCCGAACCGCACTCTTCCACTTTCCTCCCTTGTGGTTGCTATGCGTGATATCGTCCAGCTCCGACAGCAGCTTCTGGATCCCCGAACAGACATCATCGGTCTTGGCTTTCAGCACCTCAAGCATCACGTTGTCCTTCCCCCACTGCTGTAACAGCTCATCGCAGAGGAAGTCCTGCAATGGCAGCTCCGCAAAAGAGGCATTCACCGGACCATTGCGAGGGAGGCTCTCGAGCTTCTTCAAGATCTTGCTGAGCTGCCTGCTTGCCACGAGCAACTGCTCCAGCTTCACCCCATTCTTGTCACGCTCCAGCTGTGTGCAGGCATCAGGACCAAGAGAGGCATACTCCTGCCTTGCTTGCGCAAAGCCCATGCCTGCCTTCAGCCCATCCACATTGTCGATGAACCATGACTTGGTGTCGTCTGCTGGCAGCCTGTCCACCAGCTTCCTCAGGTGGCCCAGGTTCGAAAGGAAGGAGGCCGCATTCGCAACGATGACTTTGATGTCGCTCTCGTCCTCAGATGAACTAAGGCGTAACTAGGGAGTGTTTTCTGGTTGCGGAGTTGGTTGTATAATGTATAATTGTATAGTATTGCCCACCACACTGTCGAAGCTCGGCGCACACCTATCACTTCAACACACCTCGTGACTAGTGACTAGACTCGACTCATTGGAAACACAAGGCCCCAGCTGTTCCACCTTAAGCCGTTAATGTTCTGTTTATGCGGCCGGTAAATTGCTTGTCCAAAGTCCAAAGCACATGACCTGTGGCAGAAGCGCGAGAAAGGATTCATGAGTGGCAGGATTTTTTGCTGTGTGCGAGCTGCCGTGGCCCAAGTTTACCTGATGTTGTCGTACACAGGGCAAGTGATCGAGGATCATGACCATGAGTTTATGTTTATGTTCCACGCAACTTCCTCAACTTGGTGACACATCTGGGAGTCGTATAGCAGTATAGCCGTGAATCTTTCACCACTGGTGGTTTAGAGGATTTTTTCTGTTGAACACTAAGTGACATCAGTGACACCAGGACCGGTCAGAACCTCCATCAGGACTGCCCCAACCAAACTAGTAACTAGCTCCAACACGGCCTCTAGACTCTAGACTCTAGAATCTAAAAAGCCGCTAGTAATTGTAGGAGATCCATGAATCCAAGCTATGGCTACAGCTACAAGAAAGTGCTGTTTCGACTTCTGGGAAATGTCCTAAGCAAAAAGAATGGCAGCGGAACAATCTTCATTGTCACGATCAAAATCATCAGTGCTGTCAAAGCTGGAAGCAGTCCAAATCCATCGATCCGCAGCACCATCATTTTACCATTATTGCGGTGACCTGATCTATCTACCGGCTACCGGTTAGCTAGCTAGCAGTTAGCAACCAGCAACCTAGCAGCAGTTAGGATCCCGACAGCTGTGTCCCAGAGTTCCTAAGTCATAGAGTCCGAATTTATAGTAATTATAGTACCGTTCATTGTCTTTGTTTGTGAGTCCTGAGTCATCCCAACAGAATCGTCGGAGCCATATTCAGAAACAAACATCCAATCAGCTGCAAAAGGAAACAACCAATAAAGATTAGTTGTTGCAACATTGCAACAACCCACTGCCTACCACCAGCCCAATAAACTGTTCATTGCCAAAGGATTAGGTCACAGCCACAGCTCACTGACTCAACACACAGCTTTTGCAGCCAACTGCAGCTAACAGCTAGGAAACACAATTATCTATGAGAACCTCTGACAGTGACGACATTTCATCCAAGCATCCCGAAGAGATTTGAAGGCCAGCCGGTATAGCCAATACACAGCCAGCCACAATCCCTTCAAGATGGTGGGGTCTGCTGCCAACGCATCGGTGGCAACGTTGCGGAACATCTGCAAGATGGCCTGGCCGGAGAAGCTCTCGGATGGGGGGAGGTCGTTGAAGCCGTCAGGGCCTGTGGGGAGATCGAGGAGCCTTTTCAAGTCGGCAGTGGCCAAGGACTCCGCCTGGCTCGATTGGATCTTTTGCAACTTGCCGACCAGTGACAACAGCTCAGGGTTGGGCACACCTGTGTTCTTGAAGGTCTGCTGCAATGCATCCAAATCGGAAGCGGAACATCCCTTGGCATTCTCTTCCACGATCTTCAGGGCCCGAGCCTTCGCCACGTTTAGGACAGACGCCTCCAGAGCCGCCAATGCCCCTGTGCGCACTTTGTCCTTCAGCTTCGACAGCGTCTGGGCCGCCTCAGTCAGGTCCTGCAGGGAAACAGGCACCTCCTCGTTGTCAAGCTTCACACACAAAGCTTGCACCATTGGAGCCTGCTCCAATGTCAAAGTGCCCCGTGTCATGGATTCATTCCAAAGCTGCGACCAGAAGGGCACTTCCTTGAAGGCAGTTCTGACATAGCCGAGAAGCGGGCTCTTGCCACCAGCTGACCCCTTCAGGATCGTCACCACTTTATCCGCTGTGGCGATTTTTTCCAAGCCCGACACCGGAACAGGTGAGAGGAGGTAGAGAATCGAAGCTGACACTTGCACAAGTGGTTCGGCCAGGGTAGTCATCAAGGTCTCTGACTCTTCCGAGCTTTCCGTCTGCGCCGATCTCAACACTCCCTCAGAAAGCATGGAGAGCTTCGTGCGGTGTGCACTTGTATTCTTGATCATGTCCACGAAACTGTCGCTACCGACAGCGGCAGCATAAGACTTCCCGAAGACCTGATGCAGACACACTACGAGCACAATGGAAGTGCCAGTCCATGGCAGTCGGTGGCATGCACTTACCATACTTACTGAACTCGACTCTAGCCCAGTTACGACGTTGGCAGGTAGTAGTTAGTTTCCTGAAGTGGTTCTGCATGCTTTGATTGCGTCACTCGAAACTAAATACACTACACCTGCAGTACTCAGTCTTCGGATTCCATGTACACCGACTGCTGCTAGCACTGCTAGCACCAGTTTGCAAACACTTTGTGCCACTGTTGCACCACAAGCCACATGATTGGTCTCTCACAGCCTGCCAAATCACCGCAACGACTAGTGTCTGTTAGTGACTAGTGACGACCTGCAGTGACTAGTGACTAGTGACGACCTGCCTAGTTACTTACTAGCTGATTAGCATTACCAGCCCGACTCCTGGTTCTCGGGGATGGAGACGATAAAGACTCTGACTCTGAGCAACAAACCATGTGTCGAAACACAAGTTGGTGTGGTCTCTATTTCAGAAAGTCATGCGTCATATGCATATGTCATAGCTTCACATCTCACGACCCCGAGTATGGTACAGGACTGTATGCTCTATGACTCTATGACTAGGACTATTGACTATTATTCAAAGTAATCACCGACATAGCTGACTATGACATGAGTATGGATATGACTATGACTATGACATACCTGACATAGACATAGCTGACATAGCTGGACATAGCTGACATAGACATAGCTGACATAGCAGAGCAGCAGCATAGCAGGAGCCTCAGAGCTTGTCGCAGCTTGTCACAACCTCGAAAAAACATCTGCACTTCCTCCGTCAAGAAAGATGCAACACGGACATCTCCATACTCCATTCCTGGCTACGGCTGTGGCTGTGGCTGTGTCTGCTATGCTGCTGTTGTTGATGCTCTCACCACACCTCCACACTGCACAACCGGCCCTAGGCCCTGTGCCCTTGGCCTAGGCTTCACACGTGACTCTGTGCACCGTACTACTACGTAGCAGCTCCTTGCAGACTTCCAGCCTGAACCGTAACCGCCGTAACCAAGAGCAAGCAAGAAGCGGCCACACACGCTGGACACACACACACACACACACACACCCAAACCCAAACCGACATATACACCCACAGACACAGCCACACTCACACCCACACCCAAACATATGCACTATACTATACACCACTCAGACATACCATCTGCAGCTGCAACTTTAGCTGCTTTTTCTGCTAACTTTAAAAACTACTCTACACTGTCACTACACAAGAAACCTATTGAACAAATTGCACAGCACACACAGTCGCTTTCACTTCAGTCAAGCCCATGTGTCGTGCAATCTGCAATCGGATTACCTGCAATCGGCATCGATCCCAGGTGCATTGAGACTGAGGACACATACACACACACACATCATCACAATGGCTGCCGATGGCTGGCTGGCTGTGATTCCAGCAAGGCAATCGTTTTGTGCTGAGTATTGAGTACTGAGGTACTGGCATTGACGAATACGACTCAAATACAACACCATCATCCAAAAGCTCACAAATGGTGAATCTGGAATCTGGACCTGTGCTTGCTTCTCAATCATGCTTTCCAGCTCCTCATCGGCGATCGTGCCATCGTCGGCCTGCTTCTGGAGACTCTTCTTCTCATCCGACCAAATCTGCCAGGCAGTGATTTCCGCCTCGGACTTGGCTTTCATTGGGATCCAAATCCCAAAGCACCGAACGATGCTTTCCACGATGGTCTGGGCAGCGGACTTCTTGCTGCACTCCTGCAAATTTGCAATCAAGTCGTCTCCTCGGCGCTGAAGATACTGACACCTGAGATCAAATGTCAACTTGACCTCACTGTTGTCACAGTGCTGCAAGTGGAGAGCGAGCTCGTGGGCCTTCATGTCCCGGATCTTGCCATGCACGAGTGCAGAAAGGTGGGAAACCAGGTCGATGCGTTTCTCGAGTTTTTCAGCCTCCTTCTGCTTCTTCAATTGCATCGTCCCCAGAAGGGTTCTGGCCTCAGGCTGAGTGATGCAACCGAAATACGATCAACATTGCATGGCATTGTCTTGGACTGGACGGGCCAGCACAGTAAGGCTGAGTAAGGAATATGGTTATGGTGGTTTGGTTACAACCCAACACGAATGACACAGAGCACAACACGGAGGATGCTAGTATGGCTGCGGCTATGGTATGGTATGTGATTGACCCAAAAACACTGTATCAGCAGTGCAGGCCTTGCAGACAGGTCTGAGAGAAAACAGGCCCAGTGGCTACCACAACATGTGATAGAGCACAGCCTCTCTGAAACATGTGGAGCTGCACACGTACTCGTAACTTGCTAGCCTGCTAGCTGCTTGTTGCCCAAGGCAACTTCCTTTAACACATGACCAGGACTTACTCCTCTTCTCGCTCAAACACTGACCTGGACACAAGGTTCGGGCCCAACTGGCGGAGGTGGCCAAATCTGCGATCTTATGTCTTATGTGGAAGCTGCTACCACCTGCTGCTAAAAACAACTGACAACCCATTAACAGTAACATTAGCTGTTAATTCTGCCGATCACTGCTTTCTGTTGCAAACGAACATCTTCCAGAAGTACTGAGTTTTCTTGTAAACATCCATCGAAAAGGTTCCTGTAACACAGGACAAATGAAAGCATGACAAGCAAAGAAGGCTCAAAACATCAAAGCCAGAACATGGGATCAATCACTCAGTACACAACACTGAAAATCACAACTTCCTCCAGCGGAAGCTTTATGACATGACTGAGTGTATCCGTGAAGGAACAGTAAGCCAGCCGGAGTGTGTGCGGGAGAAAAACAGAGTGAGGGAGGGAACTAGTAACTAGACTCTAGAGACTCTACAGTAACTCTAAACTGAGGAAACAATTAACTAGTCACTAGTCTTAGTATCACATAAACATAGAAACATTGTAGCCCTAAATTGGGGACAGGAGAGGACGGCTCTAACCTACGAAACTCCGGGAGTAACCTTATGTGTAAACTTGTAAACCTCAACACAACTACACCCTAAATCCTTATTTCATTGCTTCCAAGGTTCTTTGCAACTCTTAAAATGAACACTCTCTGATAACACGACTGACTGAGTCCGACACTCCTTTGATCTGATGCCCTGGCTTCTCGCCCGACAGGACACGGCTCACCAGCAAACCTTGCAAGCACGGCGGGGTGTTGCCCAGGGCATCTGCAACAGCCTGCATCTCCTCGTCGAGCTGCAGATTCTCGTCCGAGATGACGGTTGCCAGCTCGGAGGGATCCACAGGCTCGTCAGCATCCTCCCTCTTCCGCTTCAGCGACTTCTTCGGCTGTGGATCCACAGCCGCACCCACACTTCCCAAGTCCATCTTTTGCGGCACGATGCTGAGCGGACCACGCTTGAGCTTGGAAATGCGTGACACGCCAGTGAGGCCAGTGCCTCCCGACACCAGGCTCATCTTCTCCTCCACTTCCATGTCGCTGTCCTCCACCAGATCGTCGTCCTCCAATGGTTCCTCCTCTTCGCCCTCTTCGTCCTCGTCGTAGTCCTCACCGTCCGCGGGGTCCTGGCAGTGGCACAATCTTAGGTCTAAGGCCTAAGGCCTGCTGGTTGACATGCAAAAGCTACACTACACCGCTGCACAGTAGTTTCAATTACCAACGGCATGTTTCAGTACAGGAAACTACCAGGAGTTGCAGCTAGAAATCTATGGTGGTCAGCCGTAACGGCATAGCCGGTGGCCCAGAGCGGCTACAGTGGCTACAGCTATCCAAAGTTAAGGGTTGTCAACGAAAGGACCCCACCGACCTTCTCTGGTTTACAAGGCTGCATAGATTGGCATAGATGGTGTAAAGTGTAGATTTGTGTAAATCTATGGATGACCCTGCCTTGAATACTGGAACACAGTACAAAACATCACGACAGAGACGATGACCTGATCACCCGTGTGCATTTTGGCCACAGACTGGATAATACTGATAGATAGCAGCATAAGACATAAGACACAACACATAAGCCGCAACAGATGAGCAGTGCCACTGCCAGAAGTTTCCCTGCAACCCGTAACAAGCAGCCAGAAGCCAGCTAGCTACCAAGTAGCAGTAGCAGTAATTAGCAGCAGCTAGCTAGCCGCTAGCCGCTAGCTGGTAGCCAATCCGCAATTGTCAAACTCAACCCGTACAACATGGTTTGTGTCTGCTATGTCAATGTCATAGTCATAGTCTATGTCCATGTCAACCGGCCTTCTCGCTCTGCGCTGCAAACTGAATGAGGGATTGCAAGGTCGTGAACTTTGTCCTCAGGTTGCCCTTGAACAGCTTGCTTGGGAAGTGGGCAGCATGTCCGTCACAGACATGCTCGAAGACATGCCGTTCACGGCCTTTGATGAGCTGCTGGCGAGGTTGCATGAGCTCTTCATCCATCTGAACACCCAAACGGCGCTCAACACGGATTTTCCTCAAAGATTGTGCCACTGAAGGGTCCACACCCTCCAAGCTGAAGATGTACCCTTTCAGCGTACTGTTGTCTTCAAGTGACAACTGCATGGGCTTCTTGAGCCCCAGCTGCTTCGGACCAAGGCCACCGCACAGCCTGGTGAGCTCGGACACGCTGACATACAGGACGTCGTAGTACACACACAGCAGCCTCTCATTCCTGGCACGCACATACGTCGGCGGAAGGATTTCCGGTGTGGGCTTGCCAGCCAAGCGGTTCTTCAGCAACACCCTGGCACCGGTGACAACCGTTCGGAACTCCTTGTTCTCTGCGGAACCCTTGTCATGGAATCGACTGGCAAACTCACGGAAGGAGAGCTCAGGCCAGCAGCTCACGTTGACCTCGATGCACACACGGCAAGCATCACCTGTCGCCACGTTGTCGTTGAACTCGGCCCAGTCTGCCTCCTCTGGACTGCGGACTCTGACTCTGATGATCTGATGACTCTGATGATTCGGTCAGTGGTTGCAGCATATCAGATATCAGGCATATCAATGGAGCATTCAATGGAGCACTCACAAGACAAAGAGCACGGTGTCCAATCAACCACTCACAGGAATCAATAATGAGCTCATCTGTTGCGAATACAGTCCAGACATCAGATTCTGGAAGCCAAGTACTAGGACTAGTAATGTTACAAGCTACTACTAAGGACTAGTACTAATGAAATTAAAGATACTACTACTACTACTACTACTACTACTACGACTACTACTACTACTACTACTACTGGTGCTGCTACTACTCTACTACTACTGAGTACTAACAGGACTACCACTAGTACTACTACTACTACTACTACTACTACCACTACTACTACTACTACTACTACTACAACTACTACTACTACTACTACTAGCAATGGTACTGGTACTGCTAGTACTAGTACTACTACTACTACTACTACTACTACTACTACTACTACTACTACTACTACTACTGCTACTACTACTACTACTACTACTACTACTACTAAACTACTCTACTACTGCTGCTACTACTTCTATTACAAAGATTGTGCCACTAGTCACTAGCACTACTAGCAGCACGACGACCAGGATGATACTTCGATGTTGGATTCACATGGTGCCCGGCCGTCCTGTGGGCTCTTCAAGCAGAGCAGACACTTGGAGGCAGCTTTCGGCTTACCGCTGGCTTTCGACTTCAGGTGCTTCTTCTGCACCTTGGCCTTCCCTTTCTTAGAGTTCTTGCCTTTCTTAAGCTTCGAAGCCACACTGGCCTTCTCTGGCTTGTTTTCCACATCGTCCGCAAACTCGGCTGGGGAGTTCGGCTCCTCTTCCACAGCCTCACGGCAACTTGGGCATGGCATGGGAACAAAACAAAGACAGGAGCACACACTTCAAACTTCGTAACTTGTCGAATCCAATTATGGACAGCCCAGCACTCAATCTATCTATGCATGGCACGTATGGAATCTATGGTAGAATCTATGGACATTGGGATGGCGACACACAAACTCAGACACTGATAGCTGCCTGCACATCACGGGCACAACTAACTAACGGTCTTGTCACTGACCAATCAAAATGAGGATGAATCCTGACTCTGATGTTGAGGAGGATAAAGTGCACATCATCATGATTCGAAAGTCTGCCTAGGCTTAATCTTCAACTTCTAAACCATATGAGTTCGAAACTCTAAAGCTAAAGAATCTAAAGAATCTAGCAGAACCGATTGAACACGATAGCAGTTAGCCTACACTATTACTACTACTGCATTATGGCCACTGGAATCACTAGAACCTTTAATTACAACAACTCCTACTACTACATAGTTACTATGTGCTGTGTACTACTTACTACTAAGTACTACTAATTTACTACTACCGACTGCGGCTGCTACTGCTACTGCTACCTGCTACCACACTAAGCTACTAGTACTGCTAACTTACTACTTTTGACTACTAACTGACTACCAGGATACCACTAGAACCACTACCACTACTGCTACTATTGCTACTACTACTACTAAACTATTATTGCTGTTACTATAAAGTTACTATTACTACTACTACTACTACTACTACTACTACTACTACTACTACTACTACTACTACTACTACTACTACTACTACTACTACTACTACTTCTACTAGTCTACTAACTACTACTACTACTACTACTACTACTACTACTACTACTACTACTACTACTACTACTACTACTACTACTACTACTACTACTACTACTACTTCTACTACTACTACTACTACTACGACTACTATTACTACTACTACTACTACTACTACTACTACTACTACTACTACTACTACTGCTACTACTAACTACTAAAAAGTACCCACGAACTACTATCTACTAACTACCAACGACTACTAGGACTACTACTACTACTACTACTACTACTACTACTACTACTACTACTACTATCACTACTTCTACTACTACTACTACTACTACTACTACCCCTGCTACTGCTACTGCTACTGTTACTGCTACTGCCACTGCTGCTGCTACGAATAGCACTGAAATGCTTCGGACAACTCCTCTAGTGTTTTCTCACCATATAAAGCGGCTATTTCTTACTATTGTTAGTACTGAGTTAATACTAAGCTACTTTTTTTCGAGTGAGTATTACAGTCAAAAATAGCACCAGCAAGAGAGGTCTTAGGATAGAACTGATATGAGAGGACACAGTGGAACCAACATCTGAATACCCACAACAACCCTTTGTGTGTTTCTGACAACCACTGAAGGACTCCATGGACATCAGGCTCCAGCCATGCGTGGACTAAAGTAAAGCAATGTCTGGCTTTGAAACCCAACCACAAAACAAAACCCCGCCCTGCCTCTTTCTGAACTGGCTTGTCCACAGCCTTCTTTGACGTAACCCTGCGCTTGGGGCTTGCCTTCGCGGCTGCTTTGGATTTCACCTTTTTCTTTTCCACAGCCTTCGCTGCTGCACCCTTCGGCTTCGGAGACTTGGACTTGGACGGGGGCTTGGGCATGCTGACCCAAAACGTGAAGGTGCAGACTGCAAATCTGCTGCACACCGCAGATCACCGGGACTCGACCGATGCAGCCTGCGAGAATCTTGAGCCCCATCATGCCATCACACACCCAGACTGCAGGAGACAGCCTGTCTGTGAATCTAAAGCCATGTCATTTCAGCACCCGCCATCTGCCGACATGTATCAGGTGGCTGACACCTGATATCTTCTGGGATTCAAACATTGTCTTGACCACGTCTCTGTCATGTCAAGGTGTCGGAGCGCATCCACATGAAGCACGGATTTTATGCACATGTGCAAGTGACCGCAAGTGTTCACATTAGTCACTCCAGGTCGGAATCAGCAGGCAGGTCTGTAACCGACAGTTCGACATTTCCACATCCTAGTGCTGCTAACTGCTGCTAGCTGGTAGCTGCTGTCAGCTGCTTAGACAGTCTTTTAGAATTTTAGCTCCCTGCCCACACAGCTCGAGCACTGGAGGATGCGTTCAACGAATTATAGGCACAGAAAAAAAACACATCTTGCACGTGGCTCAAGCAAGGATCCCAAATGCACTGTTGGGTCATTGGGTACCTAAGACCTGGTTGGGACCTAGTTTCGGAAACATCAGACAAACACGTGCAAGGCCTGCATCGAAGACGGGCACTATGGTCACTGAGTCATTGATCTCACACAGCGTCACAATGACCCGAGCCCTCAAAAAAACTGACGGAACTCTTCGGACCTGACTAGAAGCAGGACTAGGACTAGGACTAGGCTGACTAGGCCGATGGTGACACCGCTATGTCTGCTATGCAATGTGTCAAATACATTTAATCATCCAGACATCACGGAGGCAGGTCACACGTCACGAATCTGTATGCTGACATCCACACAGCCAACATAGCTGGTAGCCACTAGCCTGGTTGCACATGTCCCTCTATTAAGACACTATTCATCCTACATCTTATAGTGCCTAGGGGCCTCGAATCCAGACTCGAGAACTATGGGTGAATCTCTGAATATCACTAGTCACTAGCTTCAAGAGACCTATAGATTTGTGATTTGTTATTAGCCAGTCGAGTCTGGAATCTAGGTCCTGTAGGACTGTAGGACCCTAGGTGTGCAAAGACTGGTAACACAGTTTGTCCGGCTTGTTTTCACTTAGCTTAAGTAGTAGCAGACCCATGCTTGAGGCTGCCGAAGCAAAAACTTCATGAGTTGATTTCAGTGAAGCCCCTTGGCTGCCCTGGCTGCCGGCTGCTGCACCTATGGCTGAAGAAAGCCAGACTCTAGCTGCTAGCTGCTAGATTTTGCATCTGAGCTGCCAGTAGATCAGTAGGCAAACACCCGATGCATGAGACAAGATTTGGACTGCATGCACCAGGAGGAAATTCCCAACTGTGTGCTGTAAAGATAGTGCTTCCAACGACAAGCCTGTAGCACCAGTGACAGCAGAAAGATCTTGCGATCTAGAGTATGAAAAATGCTTCGGCTGCAAAACTTCTCTACTTCTAGCCGATTAAAGCCCGTGTTCATCAACACGACTCGAATGTCTACAATATGACTGGCATCATCAGGATCGGTATTCATGTTAGTGGTACTGATGGCAAGCAACCCCCACTCTATCTCGATCTTTGTTCACAAATGCGGCTTGAGCTAAGAAATCATCACATACTAAGTCACTAAAGTCACTCGATGCAGAGGAGAAGTGAGCTTCAGGCTGGCAATAGAGCTGCAAGTTTTCAAGTCATACCTTGACTGGTTACTCACGGTCACTCCTGTGAAAAATGACCTCCACATGCACACACATGTGCACGTCTGAGGTATATTGGTGTTTAGGCTGAGAACGATGTGGAGACACATGCCACATGCATCGGCCGTCTTCCAGGTTGCCAGCTGGCACCATGTAGGGTCCACGGTCACAAGTGTCTGATGCAAGATACAATCAGTATGACATGAAACATGCTGCATAGCAGAGCACAGCCTAACTAACTAACGGACCTAAAATATGCACTATATAAAATACACTTACATATACATCTAACCACTTTGCATTTTCGGGCCTGGCCTCCCAGGCTTAAGCCTTCCTAGAACTTGGAGTCACAGCAAGAAAACTAAAAAGAACTAGTACCTAGTACTTCAGATTATAACCAAGCAAAAGGCAGAACACTTGCAAAATTGTGTCCTCATCGAAAGCTTGTTGAGGATGGGGATTGCTGGTCAGATCAAGGTTTGCCACTTTGTACAGGTCCTGAAGTCCTGAAGCAGCAACAGAAGTTTCCAACTAGAAAACTAGAATGCACATGTAACTCTAAACATAGCTAGCAGCTAGAATAGCTAGAACTACAACAATATGACCGAGACCTCCACTTGGCACCCATCGGACACGCACTACTGCTGTTCGAGTTCGACGACACATGGGATGACTGTGACATCCCATGTAAAATCAGAATGCTCTCTGAACTCCTCAACAAGCACAAGTTCCTTTGCCAAGAGGTCAGTGTGCACATCAGACATCAAAATGTGTGCCTGTAGCACTGACTCTGCTGGCAGTACACCTGGCATTGTCGCAGGTCACTAGGATCTATGACTGGGAGTCTGGCCATGGGAGTTTGACTGACAGTATCCCTAAAGGCCCTAAACTAAACTACTAAACCACGAAAAGTTTCATTTGTGATCAACAGACAGCAACTGGAAGCTCTTGCCGGGTCTTACCGGTTACCCTGATTACCGGCTACCAGCCATTCTGCTGACAGAGTTCATGGAGTACTTCGTGACTACTGACTACTGACTACTGCTCGCTGGTCAATGGTTGACCGATCTGCAAAGCCAGGGCCAGGTGACTTGGACCGACTAGGACCCAGGGCTAGAATGCTACAATTCAAGAAATTCTGCTCTTTCGACTCATTGTGCTCATGACCGTCCTATATAGTAACATAGTACTAGTATTAAAATGGCTACTATGGAGTTACTATGGGTCCGGTCCTAGTCAGGTCCTAGTCACCCAGTCCTAGCTGCCCTAGCTGACTTAATTGGATTGACCAGACTCACAAAGCCGACAAAGCTGCTCGCACGTTCCAAATCATGCTGCACCGTTGAAACCACCCTCGGCATCAACGCAAAAAAAACAATCACCACGTTGCTGGAATGCCCAGCAGTAAGCCAGCAAGCTGCAGACCGGATGCTCTAGAACTCTAGAATCACTGTAGCTGTAGGATCTAGAATCTAGACATGTCTATCAGATCAGATAGACACAAACCCTATTATACTTCATCCTGAAAGCCTTCGGGTATTCTCAGACAATGGCAGCACGGGCACTGATTTGATTCGATTTCACCACACAGACCATCGACAGCTCA